TCCTTTAATTTTCTTTTGTTGTTAGCCAGCAACAAGAAACATGACGTATCAAAATGATCGGAGCAAACTTTACTTGTACGTTTGGGTAGCCATGTTCTGTGATTTTCACAAGCTTTTATCCATTGTTGTCGACGGATAGGGTCTTTTGGAAATCTATAATAAAAATAAAACTGTTTTATTTCAAACTAAAAAAATGTATCCATAATTACATTATATTGTTCATTCGTTCAATAATTTATCGATAAAAAAATAGTATGTGTCCCCTCTCTAAAATGACGTAAACCGGCGTTGGTGTGGCTAACTACCAACTTAGGAAAATAACCATTATTAGGATAAATTCATGTGATAAATTTTTATAATTTTTCACGTCCTTTCTTCATTAATTAAAGACATTAGTATAATAAGAAAATTTGAAGTGTCGGGTAAACCTTCAAAGTACTTGTGAGCGAATCCACGAACAGGACAACTAATCAATAGTAAAGCATATTTACTTAAGTCATTGAACAATATGATCGCTATGTAAGTACCATCTGTTAGTAAAAAAATTATGCAAATAAAAAAATTAAGCCACAAAAAACGTCGTAGTGCGGAACTTTGCAATAAACTGGCAACATTGACTCGGCATTACTCGGCAATGAATATTTATTTGATTTTCACGTATTCTTATAATATACGATAATATTACTTAAGAAAATACTTACAGATGAAATGTCACGTTGTCTTTTTGTACACTCGATGTGTCAGACCTTTTTTTACAGCCGAATACACTGCATCCAGTCATTTTTGTCAGAGCTCTTTACACTAACAAGCGTCATACCGGAATGGCGCGGAAGGGTCGAGAAACAGTTTTATATAACGCGTATGTCCAGCGGGTTCGTACTTTGACAGAGGGGGACGCGCGTAAAGGCGACTCCTTTCTGGCTTAATACTCAAAGATAAAATGTGAGCGAGACAGATAGTGACGCTTATGACATACGGACGCATAAGTAAAATAGACAGTTTCTTTTTTATGATTAGATTTATTACTTTTTTTTATAAAAGATGTTCAAATTGCCGTCCTTCAGCTGCAATACAGGCTCGACATCTCCTTAAAAAAAGATCGTGAAATGAAGCGGGCAAATCGTCCATTATTCACAAATTCTACTGCTTCCGCTTATTTTTTTGTAGTATTCGGTGAGCTGTACTTTTGGGCACACCTGTGCTGGCCTCAATTCCACGTAAAGAACAACTTGGGTCCTCATCAACTGCTTGAAGGACAACTGCCTCGTAGGGTAGTGAAATTCTACCTTCACCGTGCACTTGGTTTGGCAGTCGGCCCTCAGAGAACAGTAGACGGTGCACATTGGTAAAAACTCTGTGATCCGGATAGCGATCTGCATTAGGGTATCTCTCGCGATACCGTCTAGCGGCTTCACTAGCATTACATAAACATTCCCCATAAATGAGGTGCATGTTAGCATATTCCTGTGTAGTGTACGTAGCCATGGTATGGTACAAATACACAATAACACGTAAGTCCAGGGAAAAGTAAAGGTCGTCGTAGATCACAAATGTAAAATCCAAATCACAAGCAAACAAGTCCGTAAACGAAGCCAAAGTAGTTAGAACACAAAATAACACCAGCAAATACGAAAAGATGCGTAGTAAACGAAGGAGCGTTGCGTACTGACCTGTAGTGCGTGTGTCAATAGCAATAAGTAGCGTAGGAACGCTTTGGGTACACTAGAATAGTTTTTTGTAATTCCAGAGAAATTTTTAAAAAACAGACTTTGTTTAACAAAAAATTTTTTAATGGCCGATCTAAGAAATAATGAAGTAAGTATTATACCACGTTAGAATCCTTATTCAATGCGCGAACTTTTAAAGCTGCTTGCCAAACTGGAGTAGTACATTTTTTTTTTCAGGACGATCAGTTGAACTAGTGCGAAAAATTAATTTTGAAAACTTGGTACGGTATAAAATGACATTTTCCTACAAGTTGGAGTGATCGGCACAGGGTTTAGGATCATAGGTTACATAAAGCACTATTCGGGATGACGTAAGAGAAAAAAAAATGGCAAAAAGTAAATAAATGTAACAACAGGAATGAAAAAACTGTCACATGGTGTACATTTTCTGGAATAAAAGGAAAATTTCCATAACTTCAAAAATACATGACTTAATTTTTTTATTTTATTTTTCTGATAACTGGTGTGGCATTACCTATGAGAAAATTTCGACTTGACGTCGACTTTTGGGACGTCCTGTATATACGCCCGAACCCAATAACCTATCTTAATCCATAATCCACCATCTGAGATAGTAATCTTAATCTACAAGGGTGCCAATAACCAATCGACGGATTGTAATAGCCATCTGTCGATACAAGCTATCCATGGGAGGTCGTATCGGTGTCTGTGGATAGACCTTTGTATGAAAATTACAGTTGACGAAAGCTCGATTTCAACAGTTAATTATTTTAACAGATTTTAACTTAAACCAGTTTTGTTTTTAAATTAAAAACTGTTTGTTATGTTTTAAACATACACATGTATATTTTAATGTTTTTTGTACGGTTTTATTTGGTTTACATTGATTATCAAATATGAGTGAAAGCTCGGTAAAATGGAACGACAAAGAGCATTTTATCCGTCGCCAAAAATGGATCGTCTTCGTAGGGTTTGGTTATTTGGATGCAGATAGGAGATCGATCGACTGCAACGGTCTGAACTCAGATTGTTTTCAATGAGATTGTGGATTGATTATTGGGTTCGGGCGTAAGAGTACAAATACACCAATCACTGAGGGGTCTATTTAACTTTGGTGCCTGAAATGTAGCCTTACAGTACAAGTTTACTTAGAAACGAAAGATAGTAAAAAATACATATATAAACAATACATTTATACACAATTTTAATACAAGGAAGGAATATATTTTCTTTGTAAACGTTGTTTAGAAGCCTTTATGTAGAACTTTAAGGGAGGTAAGTTAATGAGTATATTATCATGTATTTAATCATGCCGACACTTTGAATGCAAGTCTCTATCTCTAATCGATATAGCCCTATCATTATCATATTATCACATTAGTAAAAACATTTTAAAATAAATTTAATAGAGATTGTTGTCACTTAGAACATCGTTACAAATAAACTCATAATATGGGACAAAAGGCTTATGCTTAGCTTGTTTTGCTTGGTGCTTCTCTTCTTTTACCTTAAGCAAAACCAAATGTACCAGCAGATAGACAACCAAAACCCGCACTCTAAATAGATAAATGAACTGAAAACGTACGGGATTTATATGACTGTACGAATAACTCAATATACCGAATAGCAGGAACTCAAATGTTGATGGTCTGTTCTACGAAACGTATCAAATTGTTTACTCACAAGTTTAACCTCTGTTACGCAGGAATTTGCGATGCGAATTTCTGCGATACGATTTAATGCGTCAAACCGTTTGGTAGGGCGACCATTCCTTTGAAGCCAGCCGTACTGAACGTGTTTTTAAGAAGCGTAAGATGGATCCCAAAAAGATTATTGCACTGCTGTTATTGTTAAATAGATATAAAAGAAAAAGAAGATTCTGGGTTCATCCATTCTCTGATGGGAACTATTTTTTTCAAAAGTACTATGCGTTGAGAACTGAAGATAAATTTTTTGATTATTTTTGAATGAGCATATTTTCATTTGAATAGCTTTTGAGTATATTATCACTATGCCTTCAAAAACGATCGTACAAGGGAAGAATTCCTGTTATGCCTTTGGGAAATGCTGGGACTGACTATCAGGTAAAGTAAAACAAAATTTATTTATTGACATTTTAATTGTTTGTCTCAGAGCGGACTAAAATGGTGTCACCAAGGATGACGTAAAATCGCAGGAATGTGGGATGCGAAGCAGATCGGAAATTCTTGCGTTGCGTTCGTGCGAATTCGCAGATATTTGCGATGCGATGCGAATTCGCAGTTTTGTGTGGGAGCCCTTTATCCGAAAAATTAAAAGATTTTCGTGGTAGTCGGATTTTAAAAGTAAAAGTTTCTTACTGTCGATGAGAGATATATGATTGTGTACTAGAGAAAAGTTGTAGAGCTTGATAATGCCTATGAAAAAGCCAGCGACACATGTGTCTAAGTTTTATGAGATATTTAAACATGATTGCCCGCTGTCATGTCTATTAACATATAACATCTGTTTGAAGAGATGAAAAGTTTTAATGTGTACGTAATAAACGGGCTCAGAGCTAATAAAAAGGATTATAAATATCTGTGCAAACTTAGCTCAACAAAATCAACAGGATCTACAGATCTATATTGTACACAATATATCAATTCTTTTAATCTAATTACTAGATATCATGATAATTAAATTGTTGCCTAAGTGTTTTGATTTTTATCAATTTATATAAATACAAAGGGTAATTATCACTTTCTTAAGTCACTTATTAAAGAGGAAACAGTTAATTAGACCCGAAAAAAGTGTAGTTCTCAAAAGCTTCAAAATGAAAGGTAAGGTTGTATAAAATTATTTGTTTACTGGAAAGCTATTTTTTTGGGTATTCATCAACCCTTCTTGTGTTGGTATTTTAATAAATCATATTTGTTAAGTCTTGGTATTTTTTTGTTATACTCACCTTAGTAATGAAAATTTTCGACTTTAGTATTTTCTTATAAATGTTTTGTATGCTGTTTTATTTACAAAATTATTAATATTAATTGATTCATTTATTAATATTAAATATAGTATATTACAGATTATATATGGGTAAACATAACTTACTATATCTTTATATACATAATATGTATAGTAGTAATAATCTACATGTATTCAATAAACGAAACATTAAAGCACGATATTTATATTTAAAACGATTTTCGAACGTTATCTATATAAAGCTCTATAGATAGTTATTCATATTAAAATATTTTTCTGTGATATTGAAACGCTGTTATGCTTGGTTATTGGCTTTATTCATTTTTTAATTAATTAAGATGTTTCTGTAAATTTGAATATAAAGTAATGAAACTGTTTTGCTTTTTAGCTGCAGCCATCTATTTGGCGTGTACAATCACAGTAGCACTAGGAAGAAATATCCAGTTAAATGCCAAGGGATGTCCAGAAGATTACACAGTCGAACAACTATACCCTCATGAGGAATGCCATAAGTTTTACCAATGTTTCCACGGAGACCTTGTAGTGCACACGTGCGCTGCCAATCTTTACTTTAGCATTGAAAAACAGCAGTGTGATTTCGCTTCTACGGTCAATTGCGGAGACAGAATCATACCGAAGCCAGACGAAGACGATGTAAATCAGCCAGATGAAGATATTGGTGATGATGGTAACACCAACTGCAACTGCAATCCCGCTGAGGCTCCGTCAATTTGCGCTAAAGATGATTCGGACGGCACTTTGGTTGCTCACGAAAATTGTAACAAATTTTACAAATGTGCTTACGGCTTACCTGTAACCCAATTGTGTCCCGGAAATCTTTTGTACAACCCATACAAGGAGTACTGTGACTGGCCTGAGAATGTTGAGTGTGGAGACAGAGTCATACCTTGTCCAGAAGATGAGGGTGGTAATGGTGGAAATGACGGTGACAACGACGGCGGAAACGGTGACGATGGAGGAAATGGTGGTGGCGGTGGCGGTGGCGATGGAGGAAACGGCGGTGGTGATAGTGGACAAGAAAGCTGCAATTGCGACCCCTCTGAAGCTCCATCTATTTGCGCTAAAGATGGTTCGGACGGCACTTTGATTGCCCACGAAAATTGTAACAAATTTTACAAATGTGCCCACGGCTTACCTGTAACCCAATTGTGCCCCGGAAATCTTTTGTACAACCCATACAAGGAGTACTGTGACTGGCCTCAGAATGTTGAGTGTGGAGACAGAATCATTCCTTGTCCAGAAGATGAGGGTGGTAATGGTGGAAATGACGGTGACAACGAAGGCGGAGATGGTGGCGATGGAGGAAATGGTGGCAATGGAGGAAACGGTGGCGATGGAGGAAATGGTGGTGGTGGTGGAGGAAACGGCGGTGGTGATGGTGGTCAAGAAAACTGCAATTGCAACCCCTCTGAAGCTCCATCTATTTGCGCTAAAGATGGTTCGGACGGCACTTTGATTGCCCACGAAAATTGTAACAAATTTTACAAATGTGCCCACGGCTTACCTGTAACCCAATTGTGCCCGGGAACCCTTATGTACAACCCATACAAGGAGTACTGTGACTGGCCTCAGAATGTTGAGTGTGGAGACAGAATCATTCCTTGTCCAGAAGATGAGGGTGGTAATGGTGGAAATGACGGTGACAACGAAGGCGGAGATGGTGGCGATGGAGGAAATGGTGGCGATGGAGGAAACGGTGGCGATGGAGGAAATGGTGGTGGTGGTGGAGGAAACGGCGGTGGTGATGGTGGTCAAGAAAACTGCAATTGCGAGCCCTCTGAAGCTCCATCTATTTGCGCTAAAGATGGTTCGGACGGCACTTTGATTGCCCACGAAAATTGTAACAAATTTTACAAATGTGCCCACGGCTTACCTGTAACCCAATTGTGCCCGGGAACCCTTATGTACAACCCATACAAGGAGTACTGTGACTGGCCTCAGAATGTTGAGTGTGGAGACAGAATCATTCCTTGTCCAGAAGATGAGGGTGGTAATGGTGGAAATGACGGTGACAACGAAGGCGGAGATGGTGGCGATGGAGGAAATGGTGGCGATGGAGGAAATGGTGGTGGTGGTGGTGGTGGTCAAGAAAACTGCAATTGCGACCCCTCTGAAGCTCCATCTATTTGCGCTAAAGATGGTTCGGACGGCACTTTGATTGCCCACGAAAATTGTAACAAATTTTACAAATGTGCCCACGGCTTACCTGTAACCCAATTGTGCCCGGGAATCCTTATGTACAACCCATACAAGGAGTACTGTGACTGGCCTCAGAATGTTGAGTGTGGAGACAGAATCATTCCTTGTCCAGAAGATGAGGGTGGTAATGGTGGAAATGACGGTGACAACGAAGGCGGAGATGGTGGCGATGGAGGAAATGGTGGCGATGGAGGAAATGGTGGTGGTGGTATTGGTCAAGAAAACTGCAATTGCGACCCCTCTGAAGCTCCATCTATTTGCGCTAAAGATGGTTCGGACGGCACTTTGATTGCCCACGAAAATTGTAACAAATTTTACAAATGTGCCCACGGCTTACCTGTAACCCAATTGTGCCCGGGAATCCTTATGTACAACCCATACAAGGAGTACTGTGACTGGCCTCAGAATGTTGAGTGTGGAGACAGAATCATTCCTTGTCCAGAAGATGAGGGTGGTAATGGTGGAAATGACGGTGACAACGAAGGCGGAGATGGTGGCGATGGAGGAAATGGTGGCGATGGAGGAAATGGTGGTGGTGGTGGTGGTCAAGAAAACTGCAATTGCGACCCCTCTGAAGCTCCATCTATTTGCGCTAAAGATGGTTCGGACGGCACTTTGATTGCCCACGAAAATTGTAACAAATTTTACAAATGTGCCCACGGCTTACCTATAACCCAATTGTGCCCGGGAATCCTTATGTACAACCCATACAAGGAGTACTGTGACTGGCCTCAGAATGTTGAGTGTGGAGACAGAATCATTCCTTGTCCAGAAGATGAGGGTGGTAATGGTGGAAATGACGGTGACAACGAAGGCGGAGATGGTGGCGATGGAGGAAATGGTGGCGATGGAGGAAACGGTGGCGATGGAGGAAATGGTGGTGGTGGTGGAGGAAACGGCGGTGGTGATGGTGGTCAAGAAAACTGCAATTGCAACCCCTCTGAAGCTCCATCTATTTGCGCTAAAGATGGTTCGGACGGCACTTTGATTGCCCACGAAAATTGTAACAAATTTTACAAATGTGCCCACGGCTTACCTGTAACCCAATTGTGCCCGGGAACCCTTATGTACAACCCATACAAGGAGTACTGTGACTGGCCTCAGAATGTTGAGTGTGGAGACAGAATCATTCCTTGTCCAGAAGATGAGGGTGGTAATGGTGGAAATGACGGTGACAACGAAGGCGGAGATGGTGGCGATGGAGGAAATGGTGGCGATGGAGGAAACGGTGGCGATGGAGGAAATGGTGGTGGTGGTGGAGGAAACGGCGGTGGTGATGGTGGTCAAGAAAACTGCAATTGCAACCCATCTGAAGCTCCATCTATTTGCGCTAAAGATGGTTCGGACGGCACTTTGATTGCCCACGAAAATTGTAACAAATTTTACAAATGTGCCCACGGCTTACCTGTAACCCAATTGTGCCCGGGAACCCTTATGTACAACCCATACAAGGAGTACTGTGACTGGCCTCAGAATGTTGAGTGTGGAGACAGAACCATTCCTTGTCCAGAAGATGAGGGTGGTAATGGTGGAAATGACGGTGACAACGAAGGCGGAGATGGTGGCGATGGAGGAAATGGTGGCGATGGAGGAAACGGTGGCGATGGAGGAAATGGTGGTGGTGGTGGAGGAAACGGCGGTGGTGATGGTGGTCAAGAAAACTGCAATTGCGACCCCTCTGAAGCTCCATCTATTTGCGCTAAAGATGTTTCGGACGGCACTTTGATTGCCCACGAAAATTGTAACAAATTTTACAAATGTTCCCACGGCTTACCTGTAACCCAATTGTGCCCGGGAATCCTTATGTACAACCCATACAAGGAGTACTGTGACTGGCCTCAGAATGTTGAGTGTGGAGACAGAATCATTCCTTGTCCAGAAGATGAGGGTGGTAATGGTGGAAATGACGGTGACAACGAAGGCGGAGATGGTGGCGATGGAGGAAACGGTGGCGACGGAGGAAACGATGGTGGAGATGGCAGTGACATTAATGTTGATTACGACCCAGAAGAAGCTCCTGAAAAGTGTGCAGAAAACAATTCTGAGGGATATCTATTAGTTCATGAATTCTGTAATCAATTTTATAAATGTTCTTATGGCCGACCAATACCATTTGTCTGTCCCGGTAACCTAATGTACAGCGCCAGCAAGAAGATTTGCGACTACCCTGAGAATGTTAAATGTGGCAACAGAATCGTAATTAGATCATAATTAGTTTACAATTTCTTGATCTTAAACAAACATTTGCCATGTTAAATTAATATACTATTTATAACTTGTATTCTCTATTCAAAATTTTATAATAAATGATTACATCATAAAAGCACGTTTTTAATTTATGGGTTTAGATTCAATTTAAAAAGATAAATAAGAAAAACACAAGAGAAATGCTGAAATTATATTAGGTATATGTGTGATTACACAATAAAATCGCAAAGTAAAATTATTTGACCTCTACAAGCACGTTCCGTACAGGCATATTACGCCCAGTGCAATTCACGTTTTCAGGCCAATCACATAGGTTTACGGTCTCGTTGAAGTAGAGATGTCCTGGACATATCATTACCACTTTCTCGCCGTTGGCACATTGGTAAAATTTGTCGCAATCCTCGTGTTTATAGTATTTTTCGGTGCCATCTTTGGGACAATCGCAGCAATATGCGACCACCACAGCCATAGCTATCAGCACGTAACCAAAAACCGCTGTAAAAAATAATAATTAGAAACTAATTCAACAAATACCCAATCTTTTAGGTAATTTGTATGACGCAAATATATAATAGTCGTATTATTAATGAGGACTTGACTGTTTTTATATATAACAATTTTTACTTTAATTAAAGCTATAAAGTCACCTATCGTTGTCTAGACCCCACAGTTTTAAATAAGGCTAGTTGTACTTTAATTTACCCAAAACATATGAAGTTCCAATTTAAGGAAATTGCACGTGGTATAACAATGCTTACCTTTCATCTTTCTATTTTATTCACTGAACTGATACTGATGTCCCAATAGGCAATAATTATATACAGAAAGTTATCAAAGTAACTCTTCAAAATGGAGTGCTTGACAAAGAATTTAACCAGATAATTTAATTAGCTCATTATGTTCAATGTAATAATAGAAGTGTCCTATCTACAGGCATCATAAACAAAGGTTGTTTGAACGCATTTTGTCAATTAATTAAATTAAGTAAAAATGGAATGCAATAATGTTTTTTATATAAATAATGAATCCAACTATTTCCATTTGACAAAGATACTAACATAATAAGTACCAAGTGTTTACTTACAGGAAAATGTAAATCAAACAAGATTAACTATGAGTTTTGACGATCAATTTACATTTATTATTTTTATTTTGATAGAACGGGGGGCAAACGGGCAGGAGGCTCACCTGATGTTAAGTGATACCGCCGCCCATGGACACTCTCAATGCCAGAGGGCTCGAGAGTGCGTTGCCGGCCTTTTAAGAATTGGTACGCTTTTTTCTTGAAGGACCCTAAGTCGAATTGGTTCGTAAATACTTCAGTGGGCAGCTGATTCCACAAAGTGGAGGTGCGCGGCAAAAACTGCCTTGAAAAACGCTCAGTTGTGGAACGGCGGACGTCGAGGTGATGCGGGTGGAATTTTGAATTCTGCCTCGACGTCCGATGATGAAACTCAGCTGCAGGTATTAATCCAAACAACTCCTCTGAACACTCTCCATGGTAAATGCGGTTTCGACTGGTCATAACTATAAGTGAAGATTTCCTATTAATATAGCCTCTATGAGTACGGCTTCTAAAGGTAACCATATATTCGTATATATGGGGCGTGTTTGACCATACAATTCATCATTCAATTGTTTTATTGATGACTTAAGCAAGTATGGTATCAGTATTATGTATCTGATAAATGTCGTCGGTATTTTGTACTGTGGTCCACAGTCAAAGAAGATTATGTATGTTTTATTTATGGCAAATATTTCCAAATTTAACACATTTAGATTATCATAATAAGACTCAAGATGATTCATTGTATTTTATAGTAGGGGATGAAGGGCAGGAATGAAAGCGAGACCGTAGACGCCAGTCAGGCGGGAGCCATCCGTAGAGATCATGAGAGCCTGCGCGCAGTACCTATTCACTAGCCGTGTTGATAGCTGTGCCGAAACATTCACAAAATGCGCTTACAAATAATCATACCTTTCATATTCTTAATAAACTCATTAGAAACCAAAGAAGTAACACAAGATACAATTAAAAAGTCACTAGAAGAACACCAAGGGCATATATTGGTCAATAAAAGTAAATTAAAAAACACACATCTTAAAATCGCTAATGTGACGAAAGTTAAAATAAAAACCACTCTGAGAAAACCTCCAGATGTACCAACTCTTATTACTCGTGAACGGTAAGTTTTTTTTAAATATAAAATTATATAGATAATTTGGATGTTTTCCTTAATCTCTTATCTCGTAACCGAAAAATAATTAAAGTCACATAATAAAAAATAATGTTTAGTTTTTTCGTAATCCTACAGCTAACATAAATTAATATAACAAAAACTAACATTAAAATATAATAACTAAAATATATTATTAGAAGGAGTCCCTTTAGGCAAGGTTCGGAAGAAACTGGCAGCGTTCCCCCTTTAAATAGCTATACTAATTCTTTGTGCGAGGTAGCCTCCAGCTCTTCGGTCTCCTGTGATGTCAACTAAGTTATAGTTATAGTTATGTTTAGTGTTTTTATATAAACAAAATAACTAATTTAACATTTAATAAAATTTGTAATTGTCAGTTTGAAGCAATGGGCCTATGAAATCCACGAGCATTTATTTGAAATAGAAAAAAAAGTAGTCCGACGGGATGTGTTGTCTCAAAGTTTCTCAAACATCAAGATAGAAATGAGGAATGGATCAGCAATTTTACAAAGAGCTTCAAGAGCTCTCGAAGATCTGTTGGACAGGCGAGGGAAAGCGGCGGAGGCAATTATGAGCAAAGCGGAAGAGCTATCAACATACATTTTGGAAAATAAAATACAACCACCCCCAGACTATACGTTTGATCATAGCGTTGTGAGTAGCTTGATTTTTTTATGTTTTTAACTGTATTTATTTAATATAAAAAATAATAAGTATATTTATTTGTTTGTCAGTAATGTTAGGGTTTGTTTCAATTTTGCGTGGTTTTAATCCGCAATAACAAATCCATTTCGCCATGTTAATTTAATATGTTCACAAAAATATAAATAGTAAATTAATTATGTTAACCGGCGCTCTATGTTAAGCTTTAAGTACTTTAAGCGCCATAGTTAATAGCCGTTTACTTGAAGTGCTTGAAGTGCAAACAAGGAAAATTAATTACACATTGATTTACTTAGTATTTGAATTGTCAACATTTGAACTGATAAAACCATTCACTTATAGTACAGTGTCATAAATGCAGTTAAACGTTATATGCACTTTCGTGGCTAATTGAAATCAGAAATCTTATTGTATTTCTTTAAACAAATAAATAAAAACATCGTTTAGCATTTGTATGTTGTAATAAATTCTCAATTACAGGATTTAGACGTACTAAAGCAAGCGGTGCCAACTGAAAGTGAATGGGAGCTACCATCTTCCTGTATCAGTATAGATAAAATAAAACTTCAAAAGAGTTCACATTTCAATGCACAAGTTTCATTGGACTCTAGTAGTGTTCATGTCGTTGCCGAAGTTTTTGCTTGTGGTATGGTACTAAAATATAATCATTCAAATTTTTCATTCAGTTAATGTAAAATATTAAATACTAAAACGGAACTTAAAATATTTTAACATTACCTTTCCTTTTATGTAGATCGTAGAGTTCTACCACATATTTATTGGTCGGAAAATCTTCTTGCTACTTTTCGTGAGAACTACGCACAAGATGCCACACTGGACTTTCAATACTTCTGCAGTGCAAAAGGATTTCTAAGACATTATCCTGGTAAAATCTATTTAAATATTTTAACTTCAATGAATTTAAGTTCCAAAAAGAATTATTGTAATATTATAATAAATGCAGTAACGATCTCAGGAAATACGGGAGAAGCATTCCTGTTTAAATTGTATGCCAGTAAAAATAATAAAATATGGCTTAGAAAAATAGTACGTATAAACACTTAAGAAAAGCTGGTTACATTGAATAGATTCTGTACCTTCGCTTCTCACTTAAAGTAGGCCACAACGACCTTAACAAAGCAAAAGCGTCGAAAGCTTTTTAGAACGAACCGTGTCATTTATGCTGGATGTCTTCTATGAGATTTGAGGACTTGAATTTTCTTTAATATAACAACGGTACTTACTCTACGTACAAAATAGGAATAATATTTTAAAAAAAATCTAGAACCCCTTAAATCTTTTCTGTCTCATTCTATGACTCATTCTAAATTCTGGATCTATTGTTATTTGTTTAATACAGAGATGCTCAAATCTATATTTTTTACAGAAAAATGGCACTATTTACTGTGACAGAAAAATATTTTTTTGTCGCATTATATGTCACGCATCGATTGTTTAAATTGCAAAATTTAACTTTTATTTACAAATGTACCTGAATAATATTATATACAGACTTTGTATTTACATTATAATAATCGAACTTCATACACTGCGTACAAAAATATCCTCTTTAAATAATCTTGCATTTTACAGTACAATTTTAGTCATAAATTCTTTTTGACGTTAATAATTGTACCGATACGAATACCTACACGTTTTTGTTTCATATAGCTGCTCTATGGCAAAGTCTATATAATTTGAACGTGGAAGCGGAAGATGTGTACGACTGTCGTTTGAGGCCATGGTATGTGAGTGCCAGTGGCGCACCAAGAGATGTACTCATTCTACTTGACGCATCGGGATCGATGGATAACTCATCTAACCAAGTTATTGGTACATATTTTAACATATTAAATTATAAATATCGTGAATTGTGGCCGAATAAGATGGTTAATATACGTTACATTGCATTTTTTATAAAAATAGATTAAAAGTATGGCATAATATAGACTCATGGATCATGGGTCTATGCAGGAAAACACTGATAACGTGTAAAATTAACAAATTAAAATTGTTGGGTTTTTTGTCATATTGAATGATAGCTTGGTCTGCCTAAACTGTCATTTAATAAAAACGCGGGAAAAATATTTACTTTTTCTAGCCGAATTATTCACATCAACTCTCCTAAACACTCTGACGGATGATGATCAAGTTAATGTCTTAAGATTCAATGTTGTGGTCGAATCGCCAATTAGCTGCTTTAATGATAAACTTGTACCGGTAAGTAAGCATAATTTATAATTTCGAATAACTTTTTTATCAAGATAATACGCACGTACGTCTACGTATTATATTATAAGGTAAATACAAGACAATGTGTCTTATGACAATTATGTTCAATATCCGACTTCGTATTTTATTGGAACCTCGACGTCATTAGTCGCTTTACTCATTATACTCAAACGCAATAATGTGTCTATGCCTCGTACCTCGTCGCTTTTGGTATCTTTTATGTGATTATTATAGGTTCATTTATTCCAGGCAAACCACGTTAACTCAGCAGCAATGATGTCGGCACTTAAACGCCAGGCTTTGGTTAACGAATCGTTAATTGGAGATGTTTTAACGTATTCGGTACGTTTGCTTCAAAAGCAGAATACATTGAATAGACCACGCGCTTGTCAACAGGCAATCGTATTAGTCACTGACAGTCTTTATTATAATTACACTGATTTAATGCGACGCCTCGACCCCGAAGGGAAGATCAGGTAATATGAAATGAAACATGCTCATAAGGGCTCTCTTTGGCGACACTTTGAAAGACACTTGATAAATTTTATTTTAAGTACACTGAACAGAAACAAATATAATTTTGAAATTTTATAATGAAGTTTTGTCGTAGGCTCTTTGTAATGTGGCTACACGATCGCAATGGTCTGCGAGATTACACACGTTTGTATGGGGAATCTGTGAGTTGTGAGAGAGATGGTTATTTTGCAGAGTTCATTTCTCACTCTGAGATCACAGAACAAGTAATGAGAATTCTAAGAGTGTTAGAGCGTCCTCTAGTGGCGCAAAGGGAACACCGATTACGGACCTATAGTGATGTGTATGCGCATATTGAGGTAAGTTGGTGTTATGTTTTTGAGCAACTTTTACGGTGAAACATCTACTCTAGCGTCGCAGATTTATGTATTTTTTATAATTATAATAAAATATATCTAAAAATGCACGAAGAATGTTTGTTTTTCCGAAGTATCGCATATCATTAATATTATAAAACTATGTATAATAAATTAATAATAGTAAAAGGGTCATCGCATGTAAATAACGACCAATCTATGTATATCTTGTATTTGTTCATTATTTAAAAGTTAAAAACAAAAAGAGCTAATGACCCTGAATCGCTTTGAGAGATTCTTTATAAATTTTTGCTAAGATCCATATCGATCAAGGGGTTTTTTAACAAAAACGGCTATACCCTCAACGCAATAGTTCCTTTAATGATGTGGAAATTTTTTAGGATCCAAGACGTGGAGAATTTCACTGGCAACAAAAAGAAAGCGCCGAACAAGAATATCGGTATAAAAGGTTAAGACAAAATAAAGATTTGTTCCTCAAAAATCTGTATAAGGATGATATGCATATGTACAACTTGGTAATATTTTAAATATAATTACACTGAAGTACTTTATACTAGATAGAAATGCACTTGCAAGCCTTTTGACAGTGTTAATGTTCATTGGCGGGTGTTTCACTTAACATCAGGTGAGCGGACAGTACCTACCCTCGTTTCTCTAAATAAAAAGATAGAAAAAGAGACTAAATATTATGTTGTAATTGTATAATACATTAAACTTAACCTTATCAATACAGCTTTGGCTGTTTGAACATACGTTGAACTCTTTCCTACAATAAAATATATTAAATCCTTGTATTTAATTTAAATAATAAAAGGTACAAGACTCGTAGAGGATGTACGCTATTACGTGGAACTTCGTAGTTGTTTTAATGAAAATGGAATATAATAAAATATCATAATATATAATCAAATGTTATTATAGTTATTCTCGTGGTATATACAATATTATAAATGTTATAGTGGTTTGGTATACATAGAATATTAATAATAGTTAATGTTAAGCCTATGTTAATAATTTATGTATAAAGGCTGGTGATTGAGACTTTTTGTATACCAATCAAAATTCGTTTATTCATACAGGATTACATTAATGATCTGAGGTTCAAACTAATCTCGAGGAAACTGCGTAAGCTTACACATTCCATTCTTATCCATTTTGTTCACATTTCAGGATAAAAATGGTCAATATTATGAAGGCGAAGACATGAACTATCGCTTACAAGTGAGCGTTTCAGTTCCAGTTTTCGAAAGCACGACTATTGAGGTAATTGCTTAAATTACAAATGATTTATTGAAAAATGTATAATTATAATGTATTATATACTTATGTATATAATACATATTATATACTTATGTATATAATACATATTATACACTTATGTATATAATACATAAATTTAAAAAAAAAATTGTTTTGATAAATGTTTTTTTTTACAGAACATAACTATTCAATTGGACGAGGTATGTATTGTATAATTTTATCAAACATCTAATATTATTTAATCGATTTATTATCTGGCAGTTTAGTACCTAAGATTGTTTTAGCGAACGTTTTTTTAAGATCCCTTCAAATAATATATACTATTATTATACACATTTTGAAATAAATGGACATTCCAGGAAATATATTATTATTTTATTACAATTTCAGGAAATGCAACGTAATTCTACGCGGACGGTAAATATAATTTTTGGGTTATTTTATTATCTTGTTTATATAATATCGTTATAAAATCTATTGATAAGATAAGGTTAATTTTATTAGATTTTTTTGATTAAGTCTTACATAACGTAATTATTATTTAATGGATTAGAAATAAATCGCTATCTGTAATAAAATATATTTATGAAGTGGAAATATCTCTTCCATTAAATATTACTTATTGTTGTAAATAGGGTTAAAAAATCACGATTTTTAAAGTTATTAAATGTCTTCCATTCTAGTATCCAGTAAATCGTCTCCTAGGAGTAGCTGGAGTTGACATTCCATTGGATCATTTAAAACTCATATTGCCATTTTTTCTGGTACGTATACATATAACGTATGTTAAAAGGGTCTCTGATTTATTTGATAATCGAGTGTACTAAAGACCCTGACTTTGTCCAAACGGTGCGTTTGATTGTGATAGACAAAAATTACGTTTTATGTCGCGTGTTGGAACTGTGACGCTGTTGACCAATAATGAACAAAAGAAACGCGCCATCGTATCGTCCTTTGTTCAATATTTATTTTACTCATACATATATGCGCATGCTGGTGTTTGCTTAATAAAGTTGCTCTGTAGAGTTTTAGAGATATTAGAGAGACTAAGACTAAGTCCTCTTAGATCCAAACTGGGTGTTTGCCTTCGAAACGATCGTCTTATTTCGTTACTCTAATCATCTGCCTGGCCTACAAATACATGAATAACACAAACAATTTGGACGAAAATTAATAAAAAGGGCGAGAGAGATAATAAAGAAAAAGATCTTATTTTAATTCTAGATAGGCGCAAGCGGAACCATGTTCATAGTTGATCATCGTGGTAATATCGTACTGCACAACAATACAAAACCTGTCGTGAGTACTAACAGTATTTTATATTACTTACATTTGGACTAAAGTAATGTTACTTCAAGCAAATGAATCGGTCACTTAGGATTAACTTTTGCCTAATGCTAGTAATATGCAATTTTGAAGACAAGAATAAGTTCGTTGATAACTTTTTAATTTCTTTGTGACCTTTACGATATGAGAAAACTTAAAAGTAAATACGTTTATAAGCTAAATATAATAATAATATAATCACTTTTTTATTGTAATGAACCAATGTTTACGATATATAATGTAGAGGAAAGTGACCAAATATGGAATACCATTTTGATTTTTAGGCATAATTTCCACATGTATTATAAATAAAAAACTGTTTGTGGTAATTATTAACAACAATATATTTGCACTTAAGTTTGTAATAAGTTTAGGTTTTATTGATTAGTTTAAAGTAAGAAAAAATTTAAGAAACTAAATAACGATTTAGGTACCTATATATGGAATAGGTACCCCAAATATGGAATACTATAAACACTATCAAAAATTAACCTTAACTTACAAGAGACTCTTTGGAAACTTGGTATAATATAGAAATGTACACAAATTATTTACAAAAATCACAAATCCAGGTATCAAACTCTGGCCCAGCGCAATCATTACATGCCCAGAGTCCACACATAAGATTGATCCATGTTTCACCATGAGTATCATTCGAAAACAGCCCACCACAGAATATACACTCCGAATCATCAGAGTCTGGAGCTGTATATCCTATCAAGGCATCGGGTTCACTGTCTGTATCAAATATTATCACCTCCTCATCATCTGAATTAGCCTTAGTCTTCTCTTTTGGTTTTTTTCCTTATGATATTTTCTCATTCTGTTTTTAATTCTTATTTTTTGCCAACACGACAGTTTTCTTTCTGAGTGTAGTAGCCAGCTACTACACTCAGGCTTCTTCTGGAGAAAATTCGTTTTTCTGACATAATCGAAACAAAGTATTTTCCAGCTGGGCACATTAAAGTATTTTCCAGCTCTTAAATAACCCATTTTTTTCTCTCTTACTAATTTTATTGTTTCCGCCATATGCTCTGAATCCATTATTTTCGTTTTGTTTTCGAGTTCACGCACGCCATTCTGGTAAAACATGAAAAAAAAAATATTAACAAAATCATCATGTCAGCTGATACTTCAGAGAACCAATTATGGAATAGTCTATAATTGGGTACTGTGTTCTGTCCATATTTGGATTTTTCAACGATTTCAAACTGACATTCAGATTTTTATATTTAAGAAAGCAATATCATCTAATACCGCTAAAACATACTAAACACCGTCTAAACGGTCTCTAAAAGCTATAAAATCAATACTGTTTGCACTTTATTTACGAAAAATACGTATTTTTTACATACATTAGAAAGTTATGCTGTAGCGACAAAACAAAAAACTGTCACAACGACGAATGCACTTGCTCGACTGACATGATACAACTTGTATGCGTAAACGGGAGTAGAAAGAGACAGAAAATAATTGTTTATTGCGTATGTGAGTTTGCATTTGAGAGAAATAGGGGTATTTCATATTAGGGATACTATCCCATATTTGGTCACTTTCCTCTATTAATAATTCAAAATTATAACTAAATATTATGATGAATATTTTACGAAGGGTATAGATATTATATTTTTATATTATATTTTTTATCGTTTCTAGTTTGACGGCGATATCCTAAAACCTGGATATCGTACTGTAGACATCTTAGATGTGGAGCAACCAGGAATAGATCACTATCCCAGACATTACCCACAAGAATGGCTCGATGTAAGGGTTATTCATTTTTCTATAGAAAATTGTATTTTTTTTTTAATAATTAAAAAAAATTGAATTTTTGGACGTCACAGCAATCACAGTTTTCTCAATTAAGAAATTACATGTTTTAATTTAGCCCTTCAAGCATTTTTGATATTTTTTTTACATAAGTTCTGCCAAATTAGTAGCTTCAATGTTCAATTTAATTTTAGTTTCGTCAAGCACTAGTAATTGACGAATCTAACGGCTCAAGGTCGATGTACGTCAAGAGTATTTTCGAAGGTGGTATGAGAGCTATAATAGAAGTAAAGGATTACTATTGGCAGAGGATTCATGACCATTATACACTGGTTGTCTCTTTGCCTAAGTATAATTTATTACATGCAGTACCTGATGTAAAATTTACACAGGAGTTAGGCGAGGAAGCTTATAAAGCATTATGGAACACCGACTTTGCCGTCCATCCTGAGTGGTATGTATGTTAAATGAAACTTAAGATTTTAGACCTTGTATTTTGTTTTATAAATAAAATGTTATTCAGCGTACTGTTACAAATCCAAACTTTCGTATACCTAAATTAAGTCCTACTCCACTACATGATTTCGGAAGATTGAATGGCAAAATAACTAACCAAATAATATACTCTCGAGGAAATCTTATGCATTTTCCAACAGTTATTTCGTTTTTTTATATAAGTGTCTGTGAGATTGGTGAGCTAACGTCATGCCCATAATTTCGTTTACGTATGTGGCTCACGAAAACTGATTTTGTCTCAAGCTTTTTCATACGAAAATTATATTTCATTGTAGGCTATACTGCAGACACGTGGAACCACATTTTGATTCCCTGAAGTTTGAAATACTGCATTTCCTTAGAAGAAGGAAAGACGAACCTAACTTCGCGATGCAAAAGATTAAACACATCTTTACAGCGTTTCCACCAACATTACTTGAAAAAACCTATCACTGTACGGTATCAAAGTTTACTATTGCTTAATTATCCTTAGTTTAAGGCCGGGTTCACAGACGTTCAACTCGGCTATTTTTTCATATTCATACTCAGAAGCCTTCTTACGACTACGAAAAATATAAATAAAGTGCTTCGAAACGGACTCTAAATAGCAACGCGAAATGTGCCAGTAATTGGCGGTGACACCCTGCAACGCGTAAAAAATTTGTTCAAGCTTTGATGTCATTTCTCTCATATATTTATCAAATCTCGGATATTTGTCCAAAAATTACCGTGCACAACACTACAGTACCAATTAAATATGTGTGCCTAAATTCTAATCGCTTCAATAACTCGGTTGATTACTCTATTTATTTAATGAATTTTGCCTGCAAGGCGATATTGCGAAAATTTGTTGTTTTATATTTATTGAATGACCATCCACTTACTTGTTAAAAATTGTTAATAATAAGTTATTTCAATTGAGAATGAAAATTTTTTATCCCACAAAATATGAGATTAGAAAACCATTTACATACAAGAATGTTAAGTTCGTATTATTAGAAAATATAACAAAATACGCGCACACACAACTATAATAAAAAAAATTTAATTAACAAATTAAAATAGACTTTATTTATTTTAGTTGAGATATCTCAATTTTTATAGGTAATGAAGAGCTGATGGCACGATTTAGCCACGAGGCAGTTGCGACGAAGCAATGGGCCCTCGAACACGAAGATCCTGACACTGAGAGGGAATGCTCTGGTTGTCTTCTTGGCTCCAATACTGCTTTCTTTACCACAGGTATATCGTATTTCTTTAACTATACTTAAAGTAAATTCAACCAATATCAAATTATGCGAGTATTAAGTAGGGGGAATAGTTTCTACAGAATTGAAGAAAAAACTGCGTTCTACAAATAAATTTTCTATATAAATATTATTACTTGAAACATAAATATGTAGTTTCCTGCTTAATAAACAAAAACTCTAAAAATATTATCAGTATGTGTTCAATACACTTAAAAGATAAATTATCATGATACACGAAATAGCCATTTAAGATTTGCTTAAAAATAATACCAATTGAAGATAGAGATAAAATTCTGAAAACTCACTCACGATTGACAGAAAGCGGTTTAACCCGTTGGCAATTATACCACGCGACTACGGCACATGCTGATCCCCCGGAGGGATCAGTATGGTCTTTGGGACCAGAAGAACCTTTTTACCGCCGTGCTACAGCCAATCCTGACACTTTGGTCATTCACGCACCAATACCACCCGTGACGCTTCTGAGGAATACTGACTCTAGCCCACCTGCTGTAAGTTTCTGTTTCACGTTAGTTTTTGCCATTTAGAATTTGAAAATATTAGAAATTGATACTTGAAACCTATATTAAATATACACTACCTTGCCCCAAGGACGGACATATATTGTTTTTTATACATATCAGGGCTAACCGGCTCATCTGATATTAAGTGACACTCACATTGCGAAAGGGCTCGCAAGCCAGCCTTTAGTTCTAAAATACTTCAGTGGACAGCTGGTCCCACATAGCAAAAACTGCCTTATAAAAGCTTATTTGTGGAACGACCGACGACGTCGAGGTGATACGGGTGGTAATTATTTCAAAAGATCAATAATAATCATTAAACCATTAGGTCACTTAAACTAGACGAGGTCTGGTTACCTACCAGTCTAGTCTAGTCCTCGTCTAGAAAAATCCTTATTCTCATTAATCGTCGTTTTTTACGGTCTGTTGTTACACACATTATTTAAAAAAAACATATATTTACTATCGAATATAAGATACAGGTATCACTTATTCCACGTCTTTAAATTTGTATCGGCAGACATCCCTTCTCATCGGCAAAGAAGACACCCTCTGTGTAGGCCGAGAGAAAAAGCCGGCTTAAAAAACTGTCGGTACTCTTTTAGAACATCAAATCATCATACAAAATGACTATGGCAAACATAGATAGAAGAAACGAGAAGGAGGGAGGGAGACCATTATAACCTACCTATCGGATTTTAAGTGATATTGAATACTTTTGCTCTTTAGTTAGATGAACGTTGGCAATGGCTTAGTGCGGCGCGTACTTTGGGCCATCCGACAAAACATGGCATCATCGGAGTTGCGGGATACCATTTCTATCCTAGACATTTAGACGACCTCCTAGATTCCATCACAAACTTTCATGTAAGTAATAAAGGATAGTTTCGATGGATCATAATATGGAGTCAAAATTAATAATATAAAACAAACCAAGATAAGTATATTAGCTGTTAAACAGAAATCTAGGTATCAATGAATAAATTATATTCGGCAGAAGCCATTCGGGATTTATGGAGAAAGTGGCCAAAAACATTTATACTATATTTAACCCGAGTGATATGCTCAAATGATATAGATTTATTATTAATTCATATTAGTCTAAATTTTAATATATTTTTTCTATAAATAAATATGTCAGCAAGTATCGGGGAATAGCTAATGACAAATTAGTTTCTTATATTCGAAGTTCTCTTAAATTTTTCTTATGTGGTTAGTGATAGATAAATACCCAAATTCGACAGTGTAACGAAGAAGACGAATCAAAATGTGAACCACGGTGTGACAATGATACATGGGCGTGTCTTCTAATTGACGAAGAGGGGTGGGTTATAGCAGACCAGACTGAAGATGAAAGAATTAATAAGCATTTGTCTACTGAGCATCCAGCAGCCATGAAGGCATTACTTGATGCTGGAGTGTTCCGTATTCGCTGGGTTCATGATTACCAAGGTGTCTGCTTTCCACCAGAGGATGAGAAAGCAAAGGCTGCATCTACTGTGAGTATTTATACAATTATTAATATTATACGGTTAAATCTATACTTTAAAAAAAACAAAGAACGTCCCAATCGTTATCATTATGAAAGATTATAGGTCAAAAAGGTACTTTACAATTAAAGTTGTCATATTGTAATATTTAAAATCACATATCATTTTTCAGAGATTGCCTTCAATAATAATAAGTTTGTGGAGTACAATCAAGATCGTCATTTATGCGTCTCACAATATCTTCACTGTTCTTTATGTCATGATGTCTAGTAAGTACATAATTTAGGTGCATTAATTGAAGCATCGAATAATAGTTCGTTATTTTACACCTACAAATCGGCTTGATTGGATGAAAGCGTTGTTAATATTGTTTACTTCTTACCAGCTAAAGCTACTTGTTTTGGATAGTGTGAGAAATGTGAAATTAAAATTTTATGGATACACGCAAAGACAATTAAAGTTATTTTTTTACTTAATTGTTTATTAATTGTCTTTGGTTATAAAACACTTATATAAAACTCTCTATCATATATACTTCTATTATTATGTTAGCTTGTTCTGTTACACGTTTCAATTTCACGTATAGTTGCAGACTGCTTTGGAGCAACTTAGAAAGATTCCCTAGCAAAACTAGTATTGACAAGCCTTACCAAAAATACATAATTTAATATTTATCTAATGATTAATCATTTCAAAGTTTTGAAAGAAATATTCTAATTACTTATGTAAGAATGTCCCAGTACTGGACACCAAATATATTTAAGGTAAAATTTGATTTTGTTAAAAAAATTATTCACTTCTTTGATCCAATAACCGACGAGCATGCATGGTGAATGTCATGAAAGTGGATGAAGGTAGATCTAGAAAGGTAGAAAGGTATATCAAGACCGTGGTGTGTGCCTACCCCTTCGGGCTAATAAGTATATCAATCAATCGAAATATTGTTTTAACGAAAACCTACTTTTATACCAGACACATTAGTAAGCAGCGATACTGAAACAGAGAAGAAGAAACGTCGCGAACGAATCAGGCATGATTACGAACGTGAAAAGTTTGAGCGACTTTTTGACTCCAAAGTGATTTTGAATCGCACGCGATTTGCTGCTTGTGATAGGACTCGAGCTATTTACGAGTTACAGGTGAGATTTTTATGTGATTATCATGGCAATGAGTATATAATATGATTGTCAAAGGCAAATTAAAATGGTTTTAATTTAAAATTTGCTGCCATTATGGGAAGTCTTAGGGTAAATTACGTACCCGTACGTCTAATGTATTGGATTTGAATTAGTAAAAAATCTTAAAATAACATTTTTGTAATTAGTACATTATTTTGTGGGGTAATGCAGCTGACATTAAATCGATATTTGTAGTGCAAAAGCGGGCTATAAGAGCGATCTGTGGGTTGTCCCCACGGGAGTCGGTCCGAAGAAAGTTTAAGGAATTACATATTTTGACTCTGGCAAGTCAATACATTTATGAGAATATTTTGTATGTGCGGAAAAATATAGATATCTTTAAAAAGAATAGTAGCTTCCATAATTATAGTACTCGTAATAAAGACAAAATTAGCGCACCAACCAGAAGGCTGCATAAAACGAGTAATTCTTTCCAAGGCAATTGTATACGTTTTTTCAACAAAATCCCTAGTGAGATACAAGTGTTGTCAATAAATAAATTAAAATCGTACATTAAAGTAAAACTGCTTGCTAAGGCTTATTATAATATAAATGAATATTTAAACGATCCTAGTGCTTGGATATGAGTTGCTCCAGTATAAATAGGTAACGCGACTGAATCTCTCGGCTGCATTTCCAGACTCTGGGGCGATCGTCAACATCCACGACTGTTTTAATGTAAAGTGGGAACAAACCGTGATCCATGTGGTATCAAATTATTTCAGTATTATTTTTATTTTCTTATGTAGCCAAGTCCACATTTCAAGGATCGTCATGCTCGCTTAAATGTCATTACTTGTGGCGGCGTCCATGCGTCGGGTTGTCTCTCTCCCTAACATATGGCGAGGGGGCCGATGGCTGGCCATGCGTCATACTCGTGAACGGGTGCTACTTGTGGTGACTGGTCGTACTTGAATTCGTGTATGCGGTGATGTTAATTATTTCGACTATGTGTTTGCGTGTTGTTCCCACGAGAATGTAAGTGCGTGCTCCTATTTCACCATGCCTCCTGCTGATAGAGGACAACTCTTTGTTTTTAATTTATGTTATTATTATTAATTAGTTAAGATGTCATGTGGAACATGGTTTAATGGTTGCAGCTCCTTACAAACGTTGTGTAAAAAAAAAACAAAAAAACATGGCGATTAAAAAGAGTGGCGGAGAGTTTATTGCCAGTTCTTCTCTTCCGTTCTACGTCCTTGATTTGAGAACTGGCACTAAATGTAAAATAAGAAGCATTAATATTATGTATTTCTTTGCTGACAAGTCTGATATGATTAAATGATTTTTTGAATTTTAAATAGACCTCTATACCTTCAATATCCATTTCTCAACAAAAAGCTTTGGTTTAGACGGCAAAAGTTACATGTTAAAAAAATTCGCTACCTAATTAACAATATTTCAGCGAAACAAAAATTCCATGGAAGCACTGAATCGCCCCGCGGAAATCTGTGAATGGCCGTTGGTCGCCACCGAGGTCCCTCGAACCAATTTACTTCTATTAGCTGTGTTCAAATCTTGCAAAATCTCCATGCAGTTGTACGACTCCTTATATAATGAGCCAGTAAGTAACATATTTGAAATCATGCTAATCTAAACATATTTTTCCTACTTTAATCGTATTAAAAATGAAATAGGTATTTCTATGTTTTGCAGTTCCGTAATATGACAAGATATAGTGAATCGCTTCTGCGTCTGATTTATTGATTTTCAATTTAAGTTCTTAATTGACGTTCCCTTTCAGCGACTCAAAACATTGTTTCACTGGGAATCGAAATTAAGACCTCAAATAAAACTCATCTTAAAACGGCAACGCACTTGCGAGCCATCTGACAATGTGTGTGTCTATTGGCGGCGGTGTCACTTAACATCAGGCGAGCCTCCTGCCCTTAAAACAACTGTGGATAGCAGTCAATAAGTTATATTTATTCAGGTAACATTTATAGATCCTATCTCATATATATATAATAAGCATAAACTATGTAGACCGAGTGATTATATAGGGCCTGCTAATAAATAATTCATTTAGTTAGCATTTCGATGTTGCAGAGAATTAAATGCTTTGAGTGGTGCTTCCAAATACTAGCTTCTTCCTTTTGACCAAATTCAACGAAGGGCTTGTCGAATTGTCAATCTCCAAGGTATTACTGATCGGCTTCATTCTCTCTCTCTATGCAGAGACATTGCGTCTCTTAGCGTTTTCTATAAAGTGTACTACGGTGAGTGTCCTGAAGAATTGTTTGGGTTGATCCCTCCTGCTTCGTTCAAACACCCGTATCAATTCAAAATTTCATCAACATCACCTTGATGGCTGGAAGTCTTCCACAGTCCGTTTCACAAGGCATTTTCATTAGCGAACTAGCGTACTGTGGAATCGACTTTCCGTGGGGGTCTTCCCTACACCGCACCCACTGCCCTTTTTGGGCATCCCGTAAGCTCGTTTGCCCCCATATATAAAAAAAATACTTTTAGGTGGTAATGGAACAAGATAGCGAAGTGTTTGGTTCAGCGAGTCGTCTTGCATGCTGGCGGAACCGGATTCCTTTGCCTGCAAGACAACCCCACACAACCTGCTACCCGCATAACTTCACATCCGTAAGTCATCACGGTTATTCACGGTTTCACAATCATGTTTACGTAGTATTTTTCAATGATAACAATCTTAAAACTATCAAGAATAACTAATTACGGAAACAAATTGATAGGATCATGTCAGTATACACAATCTACAATCACTGCGATATAGTCACTGCATAAAACGCGCGAACAAAGTTTATTTGACCGCTAACGATATACTTCTCGACCTTAGCAGCTCTTCCTTTGTGGTCGACCTACAAATTGCATACATATACAAAACCTATTTAGAACAACGCGAGAATATGAACAAATTTATATAAAATAAGTTGCGACATATCAACATAAATGCATTTCGGTTTTCCTAACCTATTTTACATTTTCCACAGGAGGAAGGGTACAGACAGTGCGGGCCTTGGCTTCCAGATTCAGAAAACGATGCAAACTCGTTACAATTTAGTAAAATATTTTGGCTATTATTAATTCACTTTGTTTTATATGTCACTTAGTAGTGTCGTAATATTGGAATGTAAGTTCAGACCTGAATTGCAATTAGTCAATAATATCTAGACTAAAATGACGATAAAGTCCAATTAGTGGAAGGAAATTTCGACAATTTGATTAGTAAAAAGCTTATGTGAGTGTCTCGATGTTATTCTGTCGCTTTGGTGTATGTAATAACAGAATTGAGTAATTTTTACTTCTGTTAAAATCACAATAACCAAACAATCAAGCCACGATCAAATGTATATCCACTACAAATAAATAAGGAAAGTAAAGCTAAGCGCTGCAAGTACAATGACAATAAAAAATCGGGTGTAATGATAGAATAAAAACATCTACACTGTTTTAAAATTCGACCAAAGACAATTCCAAAACTATTGATCTATTCTGTGGTATTTACAAACGAGACCATCAATCAGATACATAACTTTGCATTGTTTTGTGTTCAGCCATTATCCCCAATAAAATAAAAAATATTAAAGCAATTAGAAGAATGCTATTAATCGTGTTGTTGGGAAAAATAAATGTTGGTGTTAATAAAACTCCTTTTCATTCAATTCGGTTTTTATTTATTTGGTTCGGAAATGCCTATAATACTGATAGCGCCTTCAGGCAAATCACAAAGTTGGAACATTACATCTCCCTAATGGTCAATAAATACAATAACCCTTATATTAAAACAATATTGGAATGCTTATTGGTGGGTAATATTATTATAAATAGTACTTTATCTGTTCTCATTTTGACGTTTTAAGAACTTCTATCGCTTTTCGTCTGTTGGAGTCGTACAATGATAGGGTATTATCCTTATAAAACTTAAATCAATGGCTCTTCTGGTATAAGCAGCCGATTTTAATAATTTCAATGAATTAAATAGATTATGAAAATTTACTATTTTTAATCTCCGTCAGTACTCTTTCCAATAGCGATAGCAATTCGATCTTCAATATAGAATTTTTGTATCTCTCGATACTGAGAAATATCAGCGCTATGGTTATTAAAAGATGGCATAATTATGACGTCACCTAACGTCAAAACCCAATTTCGAACTCGAGATCGCTATCGCTATTCGCTATTGGAAGTGACATAGTACCGACACAAAACACGTAATGATTTCCCTTGTAATATGATTTTAATGGTGTCTTCGCGTTTCGGGAAAATTTTTGTAAAAAATAAAAATTAACTGAAAATATAGTGTAATAAATACCCTATTATGACAAACCTACCTCTTCCTTGATAATAATTTCTTTAAATACTAAACATCAAAGATAAAAATATCACCATAAAGACATTAATTATTTATAGATAAAGATGAACAACGCTTATAATATTTAATTAGTGAATCTTATCACAATTCTTCAGAAATTCTGTGAAATCGCGATAGTACGTCGATAATAATCTTGCACAAAGACAAGTAAACACGATTAGACGATTAAAAAGTAACATTATATATGTAGTATAATTAATTTCAGAAAAGTATTGCTATTTTCTACCCTTTTAACATGCCCAAAACCTAATCTAAAGAAACTTTAATTTAAACATTAGTTTAATATATCAGCATTACGCATTAAGTACCCTCAACACGAACAATACGTAAAATCTTATAGTTACCGTAAAAGATACTTTTCGTATACGTTAGCGAAAAATGTACGTATACGAATACGAAAATAATGTAAAGTTCGTGCTAAGGCCTCCGAAACAAATTCGAATCCGGAGCTCAAGATTACCTTCGTAAACTATACCATAGAGAGCACATTAAATATGTATTCAAAAGGAATAAACCCTGAAAATATTAAATTTGAAAAGCTAAAAATTTGTGAACTTTCCTAATCTATATTCGAAAAAATAGCCTCTTAATACTGTGTCTATTATATGGAATTGTTAATCTAATTTAATAAAATATTTCTCTGAGCTATTTTACATCAAAAATATGTTATTTAGGGAAAACTACTGTAGCGAGCCAGTTCGCTGGCTGGTATACGTTCATAGTAACGGATAGTCTCATGATGACGCTCGTAAGATCCGTGGACGTGACGTCATGAATGGCGTAAACATGTGTACGTCTACTCGCGGGCGTACTGGCTCGCTACACTACAAAACATCTATAAATTTTCTAATTTGGCACTTAAATACCATAATTTATTAAATTTAGTTTACATATTTTGAATAATTAATAATGCAAACGTGATACTTATGGACAATATGCAAATATGTATATATGGTGTTACTTTCTCTATCAACACAGAATGTGTAGAATAAGGTTACTTAAAGCTAGAGGGCGCCACTTTATTCTGCTTATTATTATTTTCTCTTTAGCTTTATTAATTCATCAATATTGACAATGTTTTTTCTCTATAAGAGCTGATTAGTAAGACGATAAAATATATTCTATGGCTAGCGCCTCTAGCGGGAAAATTGGCAGTAAGATTCGCTATTTGATCACAACATTTTTAACATTTTACATATCTTTTTCATCAATAAGAATAAAATAAATGGCTATCAAATTTCATAATAAATAAACATAAATGTCATATAAACTCTTTGGTAAACATTGTGATATCCATATAAATAAAACAAAAAACAATACACTTTGTGTTAAACAATTAAAAACTAATTAAGTCAACATCAATGTAAATAATCAAAAAATTTGTGCGAGAAACATTTAACCAATCGATTTAAAATAAATCTTTTGTACTTTTGTTACAACAAAAAACAAATAAATTCGTTCATAACAATTAAATTCGAATTAGGGAAATTAAATTAATCTTCGTCCGATTCGGTATCCGAATCCGGTATGGTATTGAACCAGTTCTCCCAGTTCGACGGCTGACCCATGGGTCGTCTATAATAGTAATATTTATATACCTTTAATAATTTATTGAGCAGTGTTCGCCCTAATGGCTTATGATTGCGCCTCTTAACCCTCAGGTCGTCCGAACCACGGCTGAGCACCAATAAACTTTTTTCTATTTGCTCAATGAATTCGCTCGTTAGTACGGTGACGGCAAACATCATGAGGAAGCCTTAGGCCCATTCTCCACTGCTCCGGTGAGGCAAACGTTAATTACCGATCCGATTTAGAAACTCACAACAGTACTTACGTACTTCTCCACTACTCCGGCATCCGGTTTTTAACGATCCGATAATTTACTAGATCGGAACGCGGTGTTTTATCGGTCCGAAGTGATCGACAGTGATGCCTCTTTGTCTTCGAACGTATAACAATATAGATAAAAGTTGTTGGCGATTAAAGGCAGGACTCATTGTGAATCATAAAGCCGAGGAATTTTAATAAAGCACTGCGTTACGCCCGTTGCGACGGGGTGACTTATTTTTACTGATCGATTACTGTCGGATAAAGTGGAGAAGCACAATCCGGCCTTCCGATATTTTTCTCATGACTCATTCCGGTTTCCGACGCCGAGCAGTGGAGAAAGGGCGTTACACCAACAAAAAAACACGTCGTGTGTCACGCACAGAAGGCTGATCACCTTTTTTTTGATCTTATGCAATATAGTCTATGTTAGGAATAATAGCATTATTATAGTGAATGAAAAAAATAGATTCAACGCCGGTACTCCTTAACTCCTAAAAGCAATCCCGAGTTCAATTTTCAGTTTTATACCGATATCGTAATTTCTCTTAGAACTTCGAAGGTCGCACACGGGATCGTGTAACAGAGTACCCACGCAATAGTTCTTGAATTTATTCGTTGCATACATCTTTAGACTAGTAAACACGTCCAGTTCTAAGCGCGTCTCGAAGCCGAATGAGAGCCAAATTTTTAATTTACATAAGATCTAGGTAGTAACTCACTCGTGCCTAGTGACAGGCTGCGGCAGAGTGGCAGTGTGCGGAGGCGGGGGCGCGGGAGGCGGGGCTCGACGCTGCAGGGTCTGGGTGCCGCAGGCCCAGCCTTCAGGGGGCTCCTCCCATCTGGAATCATATGACTTTCGTGTTTACTACTTTAAAAGTCAGTGGTGCTAGAACGTCTAAAGTCTAAGTTTTCTGTATCTTTTTCGTTCTTAAGAGGCAAGTAGGTCAGCCTAGGATCAACCTGCTTTGTCCGATACACGCCGTCGACTTGATAGGACGAAGGCATGTCAGTTTCCTCACGATGTTTTCCTACATCGTATGAGCGAGTGTTAATTGAGAACATAGAAAACTCCATATGTGCATAACCCGTTATTCAAATGCACGAACTCAGGGTTAAGGGGCACAAGTCCCTTTGTCAAAGGCATGGTAAAATATGAAATTTATTTCCTAAGAAAAAAATTATAATTACATTTTAGCCATTGATATACAAAAAACCCAAGATGCACAGTCTCGAATAAAAGTAACGCTCGAAAGTGTCCCGAAACACTATTTCTGTCTCTTTCTATAAGTTACAAGCATATATTATTGCAAAATCAACCTTTTTTTCATTATACATTACTTAGTATTTACTTTACTTTAGTATTTTAAGAGTTTGTTAAATTGTGTTTTAAACACATAAATACACTTTTATTTGTGCATAAATATGTTTTTGGGTAGTCTATGGGTATATGAAAAGAAAATGGTGCGTGTACTTATGTACGCGCGTAAGAAGTTATACTTCTTTGGCTTTCTTTATTGTTTTTAAATATTAAATAATTAATAATAAATATTTAGCGTTAATAATTTAACAATATTTAATATTTAGTATATTATTCAATTATTAATTAATATTAATAATAATTATTATTTATTATATTATTAATTCAATTTAATAACTAGGCATGTTTCATAACCTTTTAACTAATAAGTAACAATAGGTCTTTGTGAAAAAGCATTGCTAAACTTCATTGAAAAAATAATTAAAACTCCTTTATTTGTTTCAAAGGTACTACAAATGTCATTATGGTCATTCAAAATTCTTGGCATAGCTGCTAACGTCACGCATATTCTATTTCTTTTTACTTTTAGATTGTCTTATTCCCATCTCGCTCGCGCACGCTCGGCGCCCATACTGATAATTTTGTGTCACGGTGCGCGCGCATCGTAAAATTTCACTCTTATAAATTTTTCATAACGCGCCTAAAGAAGTATAAAAACTTCAAAAACAAATAATAACTGTTAAAATTGTTTATTCAAATATTTGGTTCAAAACGATAATGATGAATAGTATTTATTTTGCAAAAATCAAATCACTTTTAAAGTACATAAATTTATTTATAAAAAAAAACACAAATAAAAAAAATCGACTCCACTTATTAGAACAGGGTCATTTTTATAATGCGACTAAAATAAAAAGAAGACTGTAATGCGTTGTTCTAACACTGAACAAGCAGCCATTGAAGTTGGCCGTATAGAAGTTTGTGCGTTGAATGAAGTTTTTAGAAAAAATAAATAAAAATCACACATTGCTTGTTATAATCAGTCATAAAAACAACAAAAACTAATCAATAAAGTTTTTTACTTACCGAAAATACGATATCCCATCCTTTTTTAGCCTTCTTGACGTAATATTTTTACAATTTCTCACAGAACACTTTGGCATTTTTAACGACTGCTCCCAGACGCGAGCGACGCGAGACTATTTGAAATGAGCGCACAATTTAGAATGTTGCGCTCATTTTTTGGACGTTGAGTGTGCATCTTGGGTTTTTTGTATATCAATGATTTTAGCCCTTTAATTTTTGAAAATTGACGATTTGATATTTCAAATGACTTTCCCATTAGTACTTAAGTTTACTTAAGAATACTTATCCGTGCACTTGCGTGATAGTCCATATAGTATGAGTTATGTAATATATTTCTTTAATTTTTTTCTATGGTGATGTGTCTGTGTGCACTGTGTGTGTATACAGGCTACGCACACATTTATGCTAGTATCTCCTGCGTCATAGTGTATAATTTCTATTAATTTGAGTTGAACGACTGCGTAAAATAATTGAATGAAACATTTTGCGCGTATTTGAAGTCAGTTCATTCATTTATTTTTTAACACATACAGAATTATTACAGACCTAATATCGCTGTTAAAAATGGGGATTTAAGTGGTTGAAGAGTGAATATGAGAATGTCGATTCAACGAAAATTTTGAGATAGGCCACTCAATCATTGATGGTTATAATAGGGAACCTATGCTCTGACCGAAATACAAATAGTTTCATAAAAAGGCATTACCGAGGAGTTTGGTTACAAACTCTGTACATATATTTTAATGTTATACTAATAACATCAACGTATTAAATGTCAATAAGTCAAATATATTACCCAGTGTCGGCCGTGGCCTTGCAGTTCTCACACTCGCTGCGGTAGTCGTCCGCTTCTTCCTCCCCCGCACCCCGCACTGCCCGACCCGAGTAGCTGCATCCGCACGACGGCTTAAAATATTAATTGTCTATTAACCCTATGAAGAATTAATTAAAGCTAACGTTCGGTTAAAAGAAATTTATAACGCTATAGATCAGTGTCTCACAACCATTTTGTGCCACCTTAGCCTTCCTAAAATTCTTATGCCAATGTAACATATATTATACTATTAGATATTAAAACATTGAATTGTTCACTTAAGAAACTTATACGATAGGTTTTAGTAAAAAAATACAAGGAAATTGTTAACGAAGCACAGTAAATAAATTTTCAAAACAGTTCATGAAAAACTGAAATTAAAAAAAAAAATAGACCCCCTTAAAAATTGCCCCCTGTGAGCCCCCAACGTTGGGATCGCCTCGCGCTTATAAAAAAAAAGCGTGCGTGTACTTATGTACGCGCGTAAGAAGTTATACTTATTTGGCATTATTAAAAATAGTTTTTGATTGCATGCAAATAATTAATTACAATTAAATAATCTGGAAAATGTGTCATTATAGTCAATAAAGTTCAGTTTACATTTGAAAAATTAAATAAATAAATATTTATTATTATTCTCTTACATTAAGTGTAACATAAATTCTATTATTATCCGAATGTTGTTTTTAAATTATGTCCAATGCCGTAGCATCTTCCGTGGGCAACTTCATTCTGTTAATTTAGTGTCACGGTGCGCGCGGGTCGTAAAATTTCACTCTCATCAATTTTTCATAACGCGCCTAAAGAAGTATAACTTCAAAATACAAAAAGAACATTATTCATGAAAAGTATGGGTAATAAGAGGTTTTTGGCGTATAAACGATACAAAAAACACGTACGTAGTACGTAAATTGTATATGTTAACCAATTTACAAAACACTATTAGAACAAACTGATTTAAGTCTTCGCCCTAATGTCCGTGTTATATGAATTATGTGATGTGAATAACAGACAGCTATATAAATTAATCGACACATACTTTTTTATTTGGACCACGTACATGCAAACTGCCGACGCTATGATATGCGAACACGACCAGTTTATAGACATAATAAAATAGTAGCTAGACAATAAAAAGTTATTTAAAGTTAAATATGTTTTAAAATTCTCATGAATTCCTAAGCCCAATTGAAATCATATAATATATCCTACGAAAAAAAAACATATTTGACACTATCGAACTCTTAATAATAAGATGGGTACCGTACCTTATCCACAGTTAGCGGCAAAGTACTTTGTGGAGCCAAAGCACTCGTTATCGGAGTCGCCTCTGTCGGCTGAATAGGGCCATGAGAAATTGGTGAGGCATGGGAGTTTGGAGGTGCAATGATATTTGGCGGGGCATGGATAGTTGGCGTGGCATAGATAGTTGGCGGGGCATGGATAGTTGGCGGGGCATGGATATTCGACGGTGCATGGGTATTTGGCTGTGCCTGGGATGTCGGCGGGGCATGTGAAGTGGGCGGTGCATGGGAACTCAGAGCTACATGGGAAATTGAAGTAGCATAGGAAGGGGGCGGCGGTTGAACAGGCTGCGCGTGCAGCGGCGGGGGCTGAGCTGGTCTTGCTTTTCCACGTTCTGAGACCACTTGTTCTTCACTGTGCGCACGAGATCGGCCTCCAGATTTGACACTCCTAAAAAAACACGAAAAAATTATAAGAAATATTGTTTTCTTTTTATCTATAATAATATAAATTAGACACAGTATGCCCCCAATGCATGAATTGCCCCCAATGCCCCATTAGCGATGTCACTGCGACTAATAATTGTAACCCACCCTTAAAAATATTGTAAACACGAATCGTTCGTGTTGGAAACATGGGGGTACACAATTGAAATAAATACTTACACAGTGTCGTCTAAATTTATTTCGGTGTCAGTAGTGGAGGCGATATTAAGATTCCTGAAATTTAAGAATAAAATAATTAAAATTATAAATATTCCATTCGTCACATATTTCTAGTTTTTTATTTATTTTATGCAACAATAGGCAGACAGGATCCCCCTGATGTTAAGTGATCACACTGCCAGAGGGCTCGCAAGTATTCGCCTTTTAAGAATCGGTACGTTCTTTTCTTGAAGTACCCTAAGTAGAGTTGGTTCGGAAATTCTTCAAAATTCTTCAGTGGGCAGACGGTTCAACATAGTGGTGGTTCGCGTAACTCCCTTAAAAACGCTCAGTTGTGGAACGACGGACATCGACGACTAAAATGCGACTGAGCATAAAACTCAGCTAGAGGTATGAATTGTTCGGATTACCCTCTGAACTGAATGGTAAATGAAGGTAGAAGATACAGAGATATCCCACATCTCTACGCAACGCTAAAAGAGCAAGCCGCTCAGAAAGTGACTGGTCGTCGATTCGAATCGCTCTCCGTTGAAAACGGTATGTGGAAGGAGCCGGTACTGTTTCGCAAAATTATTACACCTGTTTTAACTCCCTTGTTACTGTGAGACAAAAAATTCAGCCTACATGAATAATTGTTAACACTCTAAAGAAAGTCATTAATCAGTTTAGACAAAGTTACCGGGTGTACTGTACGCTACTGGGAATACATTATCTGAATGAACCTCTAAATACCAATTGAAATAAGTATAAAAATAACCTTAAAAAACACTTTTCGCTTTACAGTATAAAATTACCTGGGCACACTCCTAGGGTGTGCATGTGTCTGTCTATCAATCCGGTCAATCCGTTCATGGCGATCCCTGGGTGGCTCGGGTCGATGGAAGGATCGTCGCACATCTCCACAAGCTCGCTCCCCCCGGGTGAAACATTCCACTGCGCTCGTCTCACTGGCCGTCGATATTCGCGGGATTGTACGGTGACTGCAATTTTTAGTAGAAATTATGAGTTATACGAGTGAAATATATTACTATCGTTGCATATGAACATTTGTACAACAATAATAAAAAAGGATTGTGTGGTTTTATGAAACCACGGTAAAAGTGAAACTTTTTCACATTATAGACATTTAACTAAAAATTTTTGGAATAATATTCCATTAAGGGTATAAAAATCGCTTTATCAATCTTAATTTTATACTTGGAACATTGGAATGATAATGGGAAATAATAAAAGTCTCCAACTAATATTTTTATGGAACTCTGTGTCTTAGAGAGTACGTCATACATAATACTTAACAATTATTTAGATTATATACACATATTAATAACAAAAAACTTTAGAGGTGTCAAGGGACACCCGGATGGAACGAAATTCCTTTCGATTAATTTATATGTTAATTGGTATCATAACAGTATAATAGATTTTCTCGACACCAATCTTACGACGAAAAAAAAAAGCCAACATCACGAGGTGTTCCCAGGCGGTCACCCATCCAAGTACTGACCTCGCCCGACGTTGCTTAACTTCGGTGATCGGACGAGAACCGGTGTATTCAACGTGGTATGGACGTTGGCGATAGCTAAACCGAAAATGTAAAATATAACAACTTACAACTATTGGTCTTAATTTATTCCGTCTAGCCCCCTTTCGCAACGCTCGATAACTTCGTTCCAACAAGACTAATTTAGTTAAGTGATTCCAAAAATAATTTTCATTTCTTATCCCTACAAAAAAAAGCCAACATCACGAGGTGTTCTCAGGCGGTCACCCATCCAAGTACTGACCTCGCCCGACGTTGCTTAACTTCGGTGATCGGACGAGAACCGGTGTATTACAATAGCAAATAGCAAAAAAGTGTCGTGACAACTTTTCGTAAGAATTTTTCCGTCTAGCCCCCTTTCACAACGCGCGATAAGGAACTTCGTTCCAATTATTTAATATGTGTATAGACTCTATACACTACACGGTCAGCTGCATAGGCGCCGCCATATTGGCCTTGGCTGCTATGACGAGCGCCTTTTACTTTATCCCTACTCCGCGGCCGACCGTCACGCGACATGCAACACACAGACGAAAAAGTTTGAGACGATGTAATAAAAGTTTCCATTAGATTAAAGCACACAACATTGCAATTAAAATATCAAAAAACTGTATATGGGATACATACAGCGCAGTGTGTGTGGTGTAAAAGCCGGGAACGTTATGTGGCCTCTCTCGGTCGTGGTCTTCACGCGCCAGACTCAACGCACGATTGCTTATCGTACCCAAAGATCCAGTCAGACGAAACAGTCCTGACAATTGTAAATAATAGAATACTAATTGAATGAAATTGAATAATAAGTATTTATTTGTTTAAAAAAACTAGTTTCTTAGGAGCTTAACCAATAAATATAAAATCTGACTTAAAAAATATTAATGTGAAACAGACTTTTGCCTGTTTAAACACATTTAAAGTGTGACTCTCGATCTTGTAAGTGAGTTCTAACCCTAGGCACCAATGGATTTTTCTGTGTGCAATTTTTTTATTTTTATATTGGACAATTCACACCAATTGACCTAGTCCCATGCTAAGCTGGTAAAGCTTGTGTTATGGGTACTAGGCAACGGATATACATACATATTTAAACACCCAAGACCTAAGCACAACACCAAATGCTCATCACATCGATGTTTGTCTCAGCCGGGGATCGAACAAGGGACCCATGGATTCGCAGTCAGGGGTACTAACCACTACACCAATGAGCAGTCAAACAATTAACATGTGACTGAAATGAAACTGGCATTTAACCCTACTATAAACAAATCACTTCTTCTTGTAATTTTTACATAAAGTAATTTTTCCAGACAAGTAGTAAAGACTTTTTTAATGTCTAGTAACGCACATTGATTATTCAAAGGTTCAAGTATATAATAGGCTTAAAAATGTTTTTATTAGAATGAAAAGCACCAGTAATACTTTTTGTTTGACAAATTGTTTTTTTTTATATTTTATTTTTAGACACAACCACGGTCTGATAACAAAAGTTTGTTAATTCTTTTCAGGGCTTTTTACTTTTCTGCTTTATTTATACATATTTTAAAATATCTTACCTCTGCCAATAGGCGGAGCCAAAGGATGATGCGATATGATGTTACTGTCTCTTGCTTCTGGGGCATGTACCGGCTGAAGTAGGGAGCTGTGAAGCAGCTCTGAGTGTTGGGCAGCTATAAGTAATTTTAATTTTAATTAGTAATACACTGAAACCTGGTTAATTGGGATATCAAGGGACCAAGACATATGTACCAATTATTGAGGGTTTCCAATAATCCAGTTTTCCAATTAAGCAGGTTTAAATTTATAGTTGTCTCGTTTACAGAGGTCCGCTTATTGGAATGATATTATTTCGTACCTGCTTTATCCATGTGCAGAGACACTTTTCAACTTCAGGATACTCTGCAGCTCGTATTCGTTTGAGTTTTCCTTTTCCATCAATACACTGAGACCGAATTTTCTCGTTGTTGTTAATAATTCTACACAGGGTTGACTTTGGTATGTTATTTTCACAGTTCATCACGCGACTTGCCACAATCAAAATGTGATAGAAGTTTTAATTATTCAGATACGTTTTATATTTACGTTTGGACATTTTGTACACTTTTATTCCCCTGTTTTTAGGTCAAAACATGAGATAGTACACAATCAATTTACTGACAAGCAAAGATTGCGCGAAAGACGACGCGAAATGTATGTAAAAAAACCACGTCAAAACGTGTTGAAACCTGATTAATTTGTCTCACTTATACAGGTAATCGAGCTACAGAGTCTCAATTATACAGGTAAACATCGAAAAAGTCTTAGAATTCAAATATAATTTAACCAGGTTCAAAAACAGTAACAGAGGTAATTTAATGAAAAAGAACCGGGTCTTCGTTGCAATCTCAATAATAGAGGTTTCTCATTTATCCAGGTCCCACTTAACCAGGTTTCACTGTATAACTTTTTTTTTAACATTTTAAGGAAACATCAAAGAGTACTATGATGTATCTATAGTACTCTTAGATAGCATAATTCAGCTTAGTTGTTCACAACTAGAATATGAACCAACCTTTTATTTAACTATCTTCTAAGCAGCTCACCTGAGAAACAGGCCGTGTGAGATTTACATATCCATGTCCGACACACTGCATGGAATCTTCAGATCTTGCAATGGGCTCTAAGTTATTAGAATACGCTGAACGCATTATTGGATCACCGAATCTACAAACACCATTATGTTGTAGTTAAAAAAAATACTTTGATGAATATATTTTATAAATAGGGTACAAACCTTATTAATTTAGATTTTAGTCACCCTAATGTGAACTTGCAACATCCAGTTTATATAAAGCCTAGTTACTTAGAAAAAGGGGATAAAACAAGAAAACACCTATCATACAAGTGGTTGTAGGAAAGAGTAATTATGATATTATTACCGTATCTGATCTGAGCGACACTGTGCCATGGCCTCTTCATAGGGAGGTGGTGCTTCACCTCGAGGTAAATAATGACCTGGAGGTTTCCATGCACCTGCCACTGGCTCACAAGCTCCACCCATACAGCCCATACTACCACTTATGTATCTGAAAACACAAAATTATGAAAAAATAAAATAATTAGAGATGGTTTTTATGAAAATGTAACTAATTTTAAATAAATTGATATATGTATTAGGTCCTTACGTATGAAATTGGCGTTTAGTATGGGAAGAACAAAAAGTAGATTTAAAAAAAATATAATATATTTAAGTAACAAAAGTTGCTATCTATGCACTTTTGCCATCTTATAGGTAGGTCATTGATCCCTTTACTAAAAAAACCATTCGGACGGGAATCAATAAAATCTTTCGAGGGCGGTTTCCACCGCCCCATCAGAGTTGAATTTTTTCCCTTGCAAGAAGTTATCCAATCCAGGATCCACTTTTCATCACATGTAGTGATTCAATTTAAAATCCCTTCATTATTGTGCCGGTTGAGTAATGTAGCGCAGTAGTCGACGCGCGTTTGTCGGATTGTTTTACTGAATTCGTGAGATAACTTCAAGGTCTTGGTCTTTCAAGCTTTTTCAGCTTCCCGATGAAAAAGTTTGCGATCCGCTTTCACGATAGCATTCAACCCTTCGTTATCAACTTTGGTCTCTGCCCGTCGACGGAGCTTGTTCTACAGGTCGAAATTTCCAGAACAAAAACGTTGGAAACAAAAACGCACTGTGTTTTCTTTTGCGTCACCGCCGCCATACACATCATTAATCCTTCGAGCCATTTCTGCAGAACTGGTACTCGGTCTCGTACTCATTAATAACGCTAGTGACGCAAAGAAAAAAAATTCAAAACGGGAAAATGATCTAGTCAAAGATTTTATTAGTTTTCGAAAAACAAATGTAAATAGCTGTAAAAATTTATTTTGGAATTCCTAACCAAAGAGGAGATATTTGAGGTCAATGTGGCCAATATGATAAACACCAATTTAATATATAAGCATCTAATATTATATATAAGATATAGTCTTAGAGAGAAATTTCTACAGCTCTTCTATTCTATTTGAGAAATAGTATTGATTTTTCAAATGGTGTTTGTTTCCTTTTTATCACTATGCTTATTGGTTTTCTTAATCTCTTTTAAGATACACATATTTATACATAATGTATAAACAAAATTTATTTGAAAATAAAACTTTTAAAAAAAGTCAAACATTTGTAGACCATACCAGCTGACTATATTAGTATTTATATTTTATATTATTTTTACTAGCTAGCATTAGTACAAGCCAGAATATTTTTATTAATAAAATTTGTGAACAATTTGCTGATAAGTAGTGAAATTAAATTGAAACAAAATTAAAAATTACCCAATACTAGTTAAACTTCCTCTATCATCAATATGTGGAGGGCGACGTCTTTTCTGTTTCCGAACTCTATAAACTGAAAGGGCAATAGTGATCAAAACTATTCCCCCAACACCCCCACCCACAAGTCTAAAATTAGCTTCATGGGCTTCTGAAGGCTTTACAACATCATCCAAGCAAATGAATTCACAACAAGTGCTTCCAACACGAAAGGAACGGCAGTCCTAAAATCAAAAGGAACATGTAAACTATACTAGCATATAAATTATATATCTTCAAAACATTGTTGTTTCTGTGTTAAGTACCTGTGGTGGCGAACATAAAACTGCTTTGCATACCCTTGGCAAGCCATTATCACAAATGCACAGTGTACAAGTATCCGGACCGGGGATGTAATGCAAGCCATTAGTCACTGTTCGTCCGTGTAAATCAGTGCACTCACCTTGTACTGCTGTACCTTAAAATTAACGAAACTGTATCAACTGGCATTACATTGCATATTTCTGCCACTTATTTCTTGAATTGTAAAAACACTTACTATGTTCAAGTATAGCCACTAAGCACAACACAGCCTTCCCCAACATTTTATATTGAAATCAAGTTAGCATTTTTATTCGCCTAAGAAAATATACGATTTTTCTCAATTAATATGTTCAAATCGATAAATGTTCGTCAGTGGCAAGCGGAACAAGAATCTTTCTCTGTGTAATCCCACTTTGCCAGAAAGGAGAAAATTATTGGTCATACGTTTTGGATTTTGTCATTTGTTCCAGAATCATAGCAAGAGTACATTAATATAATAGGGAGTGAGAAGCTCCGCGGCCGTACAATGCCTAGGTCGAGCCCTTCTCCTTCCAAGCCAGTGAACAACTGAACAGTGAACACTGAACAGTGAACACCTTATTTTTTTTTTTTTTTTTTGGAGTTTATGGCCTGGTATCTAGACCTTTAGGCCAAAGTGAACACCTTATTCAGTGTCAGTGATGCCAACTCCAACAGAATGTTCCCCTAGGACTAACTTTAAATACCCCTTAAATAATTTCAAATATGAATCAAAAATACATTATAAAATTTTGTTCTTGGAGTATTATAGCTATTTGATATTTCAGTTATAACCACGCTTGGAGTTTATATTTGGTTTATTGGTTCGGTTTTAGGCTTAAAATAAATTGAATAGAATCGTGTGGTTTTAAGAAAAAAAATCTTGTATCAAGCACCCTCGAAATTCACGTATCTCCTAGAATTCCCCCAGGACATTTTGATTCCCCCTAAATTTAGGGGGAAAATCCCCAAGTTGACCCATCTTTATCACTATATAGCTCCCCTCTACAGACCGCACCAGTTCCATTTTTTTTATTAACTTATTTCATGATTGTGAATACAAGAGTTTCAGTCGGACCTAGTTCTAAAATAAATATTATATTATTAAAAGTTTTAAACCTCCATTATAAATTATGAATATTACGATACCGGGAAAACGAATATTTTGTGATATTTAATATTCCATACTGTAAAAAACTAATTAAAACAGCTTTTTCTTAATATTATTATGTTTTCATTTAGCATCATGTCATGTAACATAACTGCACTATTTTCAATGTGTATTCTCTTAAAGTCTATATTTATGATAAATCAGATTTTAATCTATATAAAATGATGCTAAAAATAAATAATAAATTTGAACTTATCATCTATATATATTTCGATATAATGTACATATAGTACAGGGGCTGAACTCGAGAGGGCGTAACATAAAATTTAACACTAAAATACCCTATTATTCCGACTTCCGTAACTATATTATTATTCTCTGAATTTTTTTGAAACACCCAAAAATTTACTTACCTTAATAAAATTTCATTTCTGATTACCAATTACATTGATGAAGATATTATCGTGTTACATTACAGATGAATTGCAAAAACTCTTCAAGTTAAAATGTTCTGCTTTTAATAGCAATCATTAGGTGGATATCTACTTAGGTACTAAAATTTGTTAAAGGTATATAAATGGCTGGTTTTGGTGATTATAACAATTATAACAGACCCTATGGGCTTGATCCTAATAGAGAAACGAATGATCTTTATGATACTCGTTATCAGCAAATATATGGGTATCATACTCCTTTAAATGAAGAATATCAAGGTCCTCCTCTGGTTATGGATGACATTTCGGAAGAAGGTAAATATGTTACATATACATAAGTTATAGATGTATATAAGATACTGCCATTACTTTTTCAGTTCTAACCAAAGTATTTAATATTTTAGAGAACAATACATATGTAACTACAGCAATCAGTGTTGCAAGTTTGGTAACGGAAAACTTACTTAGCCATCCTTTTATTGTTTTAAGGAGGCAATGTCAAGTAAGTGCAACAAGTATATGCAATTATATTTTGAGCAAAATTTTTGAATGTCCAATTAATTGTGTAAGCAGTGTTGGCCTAGTGGCTACAGCGTGTGACTCGCATCCCTGAGGTCATAGGTTCGATGTTGCTGTTCACTAGACTTTTGTCTTGTCTTGCAATAGATTTTCTATGTGCGCATTTAACATTCACTCAAACGGTGAAGGAAACCAATATGTCTAAGACCCAAAAAGTTGACCGCGTGTGTCAGGCACTGGAGGCTGATCACCTACTTGCCTATTAGATTGAAACAGATTCCGAATTCTGAGGCCTAGACCTAAATAGGTTCTAGCGCCACTGATTTATTGTTATTTTATTCTATAATGTAAATGAAACTAATGTAACCAACAGGTTCATAATACTTTGAAGAACTACCACATTGTACCCTATACATTACTACCTGTGGTGGTGCGATTACACAGACATCAAGAATGTACTACATTGTGGAAGGGTATTGGGTCTACTTGTATAGTCAAAGGCCTTAATTTAGCTATAGAAGATGTTATTTCAAAAGGAACTGGATGGCCCAAGTAGGAAATTATTTGGATTATACCACATTGTATTGTATTAATTTATTAAGTAAATATGGCTTGTAATATTATTTTCAGAGAAATAAGCAAATGTGGCTCTATTGTACAATTTCTTCAACACATGGCCCTGAAATGGTAAGAAACTAAATATTTGTAACTTTATATACATAAAGGAGAAAAAAGCACCTAGAGCTATTTTAGGAAATTGCGCCTTATTAATATAAAAATTGGTTGAATATGTTTTCAGTATTAGTTTAGCTGTAATAACTCCATTCTATTCTGCAAGTTTAGTTGAAACTGTACAGAGTGATATAGCAAGTGACAAGCCCGCAGTTCTTGATGTGTTTAGAGAAGGTTTTATGAGAATCCTAGAATGGGGTACCCCCAGCCGTGGAAGAATGCTGCCTATTTGGGCAATTGTCTTGCCAACTGCAGCATTTGGAATTTCAAAGTATTTTGCTCAGTATGTGATAAAAACTTTATATCTGCAATTTTTATCACCAGTTGTGAGCAATTTGTTTTGATAATACATCTCTTTTAGCTCAACTCTTAAGAGCATAACAGTGAGGGTACTGCAGTTTCAACAGAGACACAGACATGAGCTAAGTCCAACCTATGAATTGAATAAGGCTAAAACTTCTAATCCACTAATAGAGGATTTAAACTTAAAGGCTAACATTTTTTCATTCATTGCCATGGAGATAATTTTTTATCCTGTAGAAACTATAATACACAGGTTGCATATACAGGTAAATAGTTTTCTTAATCTTATTGTTTTGTAGCTTCTATGCTCCCTTGATACTTCCTACCTTTCATACCCGGGGTACAACATACATTCCTTTGTGCCTCGGGTAGTAGGTTGCATTGTCAGGAAGGATATTGATTCTTGTTGAACCTTATTTTTTTAAGTTTTGTTTTCAACTGATGATGTTTCTAACATCTTTTTCAAACAAATAAACCAGTAAAAAATTTTACATAAATAACATTAACTTCACTTAAAAATAATTAAAGGTACATAAGTATATATGTATTAAGTATTTTAAAGATATATATGTTACATTTTTAGCCTGTTAGTATAAAAACCAACACCATTATTAACTAATTTTCAAAGTGACTGCTTATTAATAAAAATATTAATACAAAAACTTTATACAATGACTTAAGTCATCTATTTACATGACTTTAAATTATCTAAGATCGAACACACAAAAGACCAAATGGGAATCTAAGTGCGAAAACTGAGTCCACACTATGTATATACATGCCTTTAAATTTTACTATTGTTTTAATGTTAAATAATTTTTTTATTATTTAAGGGAACAAGAACAATAATAGACAACTTAGATGCGGGTACATCAGTTACACCAATCCTTACAGGATATGAAGGCTTCCTTGATTGTTACAATACAACAATAACCAAAGAGGGCTTTGGAGGATTGTACAAAGGTTTTGGAGCACTTGTGTTACAGTTGGCAGCTCATCTCGCCATAATTAAATTTACTACACTTGTAGTATCTGAAATGTCCAACCTTTTGAAACCAGCAAACTCACCTAATTCTGAAGAGACTGTTAGTTCACAACAGAAGTATTTATTTAATTAAGAGCATATTCTAGGTAATAAATTTTATTTGATATTTAGTTTATGTTTTTACTACATTATTTATTACTTTTTATCACTTTTAAAGCCCATCTTTATGTGTTAAATAATTGTAAGGGTTTTGTTAATGTGTATTTTTTTAGATTTCCTTCATGCTTAAGTATAAGTAATAAAAGGATCATCATTAAAAATAATATGGTTTAATTACTAAAACTAATGTTTATATAACTGTATATTATTTACATTACTTCTTCACATTATAGAAAAAATATTAATGTGTAAGTACATGACGGCCTTTTAGAAGTCTTCTCATAATAACCCTGCGACCATTCTGTGAGGACATTCTTTTTTCCCAGCCATGCCGACGAACTCTTTTTACTTCATTAGGACGAGGAAAGTAACAGCGTACTTTTGTGCGTACTAAAGACAGTAAACACGATTCTGGCTTTACTAGGCTAGAACTGGGTGGCTGAGCCAAGAAAAGCCCTTGTCTGAAAGATAATTCAAAATTATTAAAACTCTTAAATCACGTCGATGTTAAAAAGATATACTCACTTAAATGGTTGAAATACAGCAGAAATAAAACGATGTAACATGATTTCAAGATAATACACTCAATCCAATAACAATATACTTGGCTTTCTAGTGTCTGATACGTCTATTACCAAGTTAGCAATGGACCAATGATATATTTCACGAAAAAAAGCACAGTACTGGTTTTACCACATTTCTTCAGCAATTATTCGATGATGAGCCTTGCGGTTCAAAACAGTCCAAACACAGAGTAGGAAGTAATTGGACACAGAATACAGATGAATGAGAGAGCTATCTAGTTGCATAGGTCTAGGAGTCAGATTTATAAACGAGTCTTAGCGCTGCGCTAAGTCTGACTTCTGTACGTCAAAAATGTATTTGATTTTGACATGCGGAAGTCATGATTTGCGGTATTAAGCGCAATGTATATTAAATGATATAGAAACATATTACATAAAGAAAACTGTAAAGGAAAGCAAACATTTAGGGTACTGAATTAAGATTTATCACTTTAGGTACTGAATTATCATTTAGAATTATGATGTAGCGACACCTAAATAGTACGACGAAACAAGTAAATGGGTAAAATAAGTTTATAATATACCATTTCCGTACTAACAAAGTTATTGCAACCGCTAGGGATATAATATACAAATTCTCGGGCCTTCGGGCCAGCCAGTGAGTAGTATTATACTAGTCGAGGATCTTCCCTTAAGTAAGAGAAAAAGTAGCACGTTCCTATAGATGTTCTATTATAGATAGAACAAACAAAAATTATTTATTCAATAATTCATTGCTATAAGATACCCCTAATTACTTTAATGTTTTTCTTATTTAGATCGTTTGGCAAAAATAATTATTATTTATTTATAATTACTGTTTAAAATTTGATCTAAAATTCACAAGCAATAACGTAACTTCCGTAAAAATAGTACGTGTTTATGTTTACGTCTTGTCACAGTTCAGTAATTATTCGATGACGTTCAGTCTCTGTCTTTTCTTTAGGTAATAGGAGTCAAACGGGCAGGAGGCTCATCTGATGTTAAGTGATACCACAGCTCATGGGCACTTACATTGCCAGAAGGCTTACAAGGGCGTTGCCGGCCTTTTAAGAATTGGTACGCTCTTTTCTTGAAGGACCCTTTAAACACTCTCCATGGTAAATGCGATATGTGTAAGTTTCAAACATCTCTATGCAATGCCAAGGGATCAAGTCGCACGGAAAGTGACTGGTCGCTGACGATTCGAATCGCTCTTCGTTGAATACGGTCAAGTGGAAGGAGCTGGTACTGGAATTTGCGCTTTATAGAATTGCAAGCGGTGGCCCGAAATGAATCACCATCTCGCCTTGCTGAGCACACCAGGGTTCTTAGTAGCTCATGGCACTCTTAGTCGCATTCCCTACCAGATGACCGCGAAAGGTGATGTCATTCGATATGTCAACGCCCAGTATCCCGATGCTAGCTTTGGCTTTTGCAGTCATATGCACTGTCTATATATTATGCACAGTGTCCTCTAAGATTTTTTACTAATTCATAGTCCACAGATTATGTAATAGATAGTGATAGATAGACTATAGATAGTCACTAGTGACACCGACATCCAAAAAGTTCATGTGTTATGATTGTGATTCTCTGTGGTAACTTTGTATTTGTGCATGTTGAACATTGAATATGGCGGATAAAAATAACAAGGGCGCTAAAAAAATATTTTTGTCATCAAATAAATTTTTAAAGTGTGAATGATTGGAATATCGCTGTCGGGTATTTGCTGTAAAACTAATTTGTTAATATATAATAAAAATTATTGTAAGTGTCAGTATCGCTTTTTAGGTAGTTGTATTATTTGACGCTATAGAATTACATTACAAGTAGATAACGAAAGTTATAAATACCTACAGACTTACAAATATTTTGTTTATATTTCAGGATAACGATGTCCGCGATAAAAGTTAACTTCGAAATAGGACACGAAGCTTCAATGAAATCTAAGAAGACCCCAGAGGGATTTACTCATGATTGGGAAGTTTTCGTGCGAGGCCAAGAAGGTGCTGATATCAGTCACTTTGTTGACAAAGTTGTTTTTCTTCTTCACGAAACTTTTCCCAAACCCCGAAGAGGTAATTACTTAGTTTTTTATTTGATCAGCCAATCAGTTTCATTATATTCATTAATTTATACTTGTTTACAATTTTTTTTTCAGTTGTTAAAGACCCTCCATTTACAATAAAAGAGGCAGGTTATGCAGGCTTCATCTTTCCAATAGAAATATATTTAAAAAATAAAGATGAGCCAAAAAAAATTAAATTTACCTATGATTTGACATTACAACAAAGTGCTTTTCTTAGAGATCGCTACATTTTTCAAAATCCCAATGAAGAGTTTAAAAGAAAATTGCTAAAAGGAGGAGGAATTCCCATGAGTAACAATGCTTATTATACAAATCCTGATCAAGAAAGTAGAAGTAGAGATTCTTTTACTGATGATAAGCAACAACTTGTTAGCAAACCAAAGCTTTCTTCTGAACACACGAAAAAACATAAAACAAAAGAGTATAAAGATGAAATACCTTTAAAAGCAAGTAGTTTTGAGACACTTTTTGGAGCACCTATTCAGAAACCTCCTAAAGTTTCACCTGATCCAAAGAAGATGGAAAAAAGCACACAACCTGTTAAATCAGAAAAGAAAGAGAAAGAGAGGTCAAGTTCTGATAAGAAATCAAAACATGAACATAAAGAGAGTAAACCAGATAAGACAAAAGTTAAAGAAGAACGGGAGAAACAAAAAGTTGAAAAATTAAAAAACCATAGTAGAGAACAAGAAAGATCTAAAGATAAAACAAGTAAGAGAGCCAGTGAGAAGCCGCCTTCACCAGAGCCACCTAAAAAGAAGTGTCTTAGTCCAAATCGCAAAGTTCCTAGCCCAGCGCCACGTTCTAGTAGTGCTCAAAGTATTAAAGAAGAGTATAAACCACAAAAGCATAGTTTAGATAACTTTGAACACAAAAAACCAAAAGTAGAAGATAGACCTCCTGATATAAAACTAGAAAAAGAACCAAAAGAGAAAAAGAAAAAAGAGAAGAAAAGTCATGATAGGGAAAAAGAGAGAAAGGAAAAGAAAGACTATAAAAAAGAGACCCATAAAATTAAAGATTTAGAAACAAAAGAAGTAGTTAAAGAACTGCCAAAAGCAAGGGAAGTTATTAAAGATAAAGAATCTAAAGATTCACCAATAAAAGAGAGGCAAATAAAATCAGAAAAACCAATCAATAAATTTTCAATTGAAAATTTGAGAAAAACCCCTCCACCAGAAGTTGAGGATCGTTCAGATTCCCATAAAACAAAAGAAAAGGGTGACTCTGAAAGGAAACATAAACATAAAAAGAAAGATAAAAAACGTGATGAATCAAAAGAAAAGCACAAAGAGAGCAGTAAAGAAAAAAAACGTAAACATGAGAAAGCTCGAGAAAATCAAGAAAATAAAGTGGAAGTTGTAGAACACAGAGAAACACCAATTCCTAGGGAGCGTCATATACCAGAACTTGCATCACCAATATCTATAGATACAGCATCACAGTGCAGCTCAAAAAGTGGGTTAACTAAAACTATTCACATTGGGACTGAGGATATTAATAGCAGTCATTCAGATTCAGATCATTCAATTATAAATGATGATGATGATGTTAAAATAAAAACAGAACATCTCTCACCTGAACCAGTTGTGAAGCGTGAGCCGACACCAGAGCCCGAGCCACCTGAACCAGAGCCTGTACCAGTTCCTATACCTATTGAGAACCCACCAGTGCAAAAATCGAAAAAACATAAAGATAAATCATCAAAGAAAGAAGAAAAGCGACGCAAGAGAAAAGCAGAGGCAGAGGAATTAGAAAATCGCAAAGTAGCAAAGCCAAATGATTCTGCCCCTGTTATAAGTGAAACTGATTGCGGAGAGAGTAGCGCATCTACGTCAATGGAGACGAAAGTGCAAGACAATGGTGTTTCAAGCAGCCTAGGTGAAGATGCAGAACCTGGTGACTTGTCACCTGACTATATGGTACAGTTAAGAGGTCTACAGCAACGCATTATGATGATTAAAAATAATGAGGATCTTGAGAGAGTGGTAAATTTAATAGCAGAGACTGGTAGGTATGAAGTGACGACCCAGACATTTGACTTTGATCTGTGCCTGTTAGATCGCTCTACTGTTCAACAACTTATACAGTTGGTTGGCTGTTAGTTGTTATTGATATTCTGTAAACTCTTTATACACCAATATGTTCTAAAATATTGTTGAATATCAGATATCATAATCCTAACATGGATAGAATGGAAGATAAATATAAGTGTTTCACTTTATATTCTGTAGTTATATATATTTTATGATAGTAAGAATAAAATCTCAATCATGATAATATGCATCAACATCAACTATTTAAAAACTTTAAGTGCAATACTTTATAGAAAAGTAAAGATATAAGACTGTTGAAAGATTGTTAAAAAACTTGTATATTTTGTACATTATTATATTAATATTGATATACTAAGTAATTAACAAGTGCGTCACATGAATACAATTTATTACTTGTAAATAGAAAAATAACGATTTTGTTAGTAACTCACAATTTAAAGCTCTTCAAATATGATAAATTTCCATGAATGTGGCAATGCTGTTGAACACTTGGTATATGTGAATATATTGAACCTCCATGGTCATAGCGATCCGAGGCTAATATAATTTTATTTAAAATGAAGTTTATTGACTTATTAGTTTATAACACTTCATGGCATAAATTAGATCCTAGTTAGATAATGTTGGCAACAATTTGAATTAAGTTCCCATCTCTAACATTATTATTGTTTTCATATGTTTAATTGTAATAATCTAATAAAGTGGCACTTTTATTTATAAAATCTACACTGAATAAAATAGGAATATATTTAAGACTATAATTGTGATTAGAACATAATAATATTGGCTTTTTCTAATGCCTTATGTGTTTGTTACGTAATTTATTTTTTATTTATAAATACATGAAATATGTAGGTATTTCGAAGAAATAAATAAGAGTGTATAACATTTATTTATCTGTTTTAATTCTTCTAGAATATCTATTAAAAACTGGACAAATACAGTTACGTAAGATTGGTTTTGTGTAATGGAATATCTCGCATAGTATAAAATGTTTAACCTTATTACAAAATCAAATTTAATGCCACATAAAATAAGTTTTCAGTTTAGTCGAATATTGTGTTGCCTCTCGCATTTGAACCTATTAATACTCATCAACATTCCTTATAACTTTTCCCATATTTATATTTTTTTTTTTTAACTTACGATTCGATAACTACAGCGTTTTACTAGATTCGGTGGACATCCCTAAATTGATATTATGTTCTGACAACTTCAAAAAACCTGAGGAAGTTTACATTTTGATATTTTTGAAGTTATACTTCTTTCGGCGCGTTATGAAAAATTGATGAGAGTGAAATTTTACGATGCGCGCGCACCGTGACACAAAATTAACAGAAAGAAGTTGCCCACAGAAGATGCTACGGCATTGGACATAATTTAAAAACAAGATTCGAATAATACCTAATAGAATTTATGTTTACACTTAATGTAAGAGAATAATAATAAATATTTATTTATTTAATTTTTCAAATGTAAACTGAACTTTATTGACTATAATGACTCCTTTTACAGTCTTTGATTATTTAATTGTAATTAATTATTTGCATGCAACCAAAAACTATTTTTAATAATGCCAAAGAATCTCTAAGTTCTTACGCGCGTACATAAGTACAAGCACCGTTTTTTTACAAATAAAAGTAGCATGAAGACTCATGACGTACTTTTTGTAATACAATATACCTAATGAATTTGAGTTTTCAAGCGTATTATTTTAATTAATTTCAAAAATATTTGCGCCTTAATAATAACAAAAGGTGATACTATAAATAAGGCAAATTTTAACATACGAAATTCTTTATTTAAAAAAAAACTGCATACATTGCTACAAATGAATGAATGACAATAAGGGATGATACAAAATTTACCAATTTTTGATATAAAATGGTGCTCATGAAACTATAAGATGGATTTAAATTTTTGCGATAAGTTAAATAATAAAATGCCTAAGAATCTGCCATTTGTCATTACGATCATATTACGCGGGCATGTTCATTTCATCTGAACAATTAGATCGCTCGTCGTAAGGGACATTTTTCCCTCTGATAAGTCGAGTACCTGGCCAAAATCATTAATCGCTCATCTCTTTTTACCATTTTTATGACTTGTCTGACGCCATTTCGCATAAAAGTCACCAATGAACTCGATAGAAATGCCCGCTGCCTGTGCCGTTCCCAACAAACTGATTTCCTTATATTGTTCTTCATTATTTCCTTGTTCAGTACCAACTAGTAAAACAAGCAATGGAGCAGACTTTCCAGAGATTTCTGAATCACCATTTCCTCCTTGTTGCTTTTCATCATTAAAGTGATTGCAAAATTCTAAAATTTGCATAAAATTATGTACGAAAGATGGCGCTTTTCGTGGGTATTTGATCAGTGGCATTGGTTTAGATTGACCTGGGCGTTGTGTTCTAAGAAATCGTGAACCACTCTTAAGTTGCATCTCGAGCCAGCGTATTGCATCGCGAGCGGCTGAACAATCTCGCTTAAGCTCGTCCAATTCTTGCAATACTGTAAATAGAAAATAATTTAACCTCTCCGCAGCTATAAACATACTAACTTGAGATAGTGATAGATATTTAGGTAAAGGGATTTTACATCTGTACGCTGTCGGGAATTAAATTATATGTGTATTATTGAGGCATATATATATATATATATATATATATATGCATCAAGGGTAAGATAAGCGTTAAATACTACCATATGACAAAACCAGAGGTCTAATAATGAAAAAATATTTTACTTACCGACACTGGGGATTAGAATTATAAAGTTACGAGTTCTGACGAGCTGTTTTACTCTACGGAGATGTTTATACAAAGCAGTCGTGTCAACGGCGAGAAGGGATGGCACTTCAGTTTGTCCTGTGCACTCTAATTCTCGAACTCTCGATGTAAGCCAAAGGTGGCCTAAACGGCGAAGAAGTCCACCCTCGTTTTTATCTCCCTATAATAGAAATATTGTTATTTTTTAAATAGTAAAAACTAGTTATTTATAATACTGTAAACTTATAAAAATATACATGTACAATTTTTTGGTAAGATAAGGTAAAGTTTTATATAAAAATAAATTTGTATCTTCTTTTTAACTAAAAAGAATTATCTTTAAACACAAAACTATATTCTACAATAAAACAAAGTTGAATATGTACTTAATTTTAAATTTCATCTGTTCATTTTTGTTGAGAATTCTAATTACAACTTACTTGTTTATTAGAGCTATGCCATTCTCTGCTTCTTTTATGATTTAATTTGTGTGTAGTTTTTGGTGGGTATACTTTTTTAAGGTAAAAAATCTTCATTGTCTTGTTAAACTTAATCCTTGGCACAATCTTTGCTATCTGATTTCCAAAGTAAATGAAGTTTAATATTCTTATTATATTTTCGTCAAACTCTGTTAATTTTAATTTCTCCTTGAGTTGCCACTCTGCAGCATCTTTGTCAAATTTTCCAATGTTAGTTCCACGCAAGTTTATATCTTCAGGAAGAGGAATTGTTTTATAATCCAGCCTGAATTTTTTTGCTTTATTTTTAGCTTGAATAAGAATATTACTGCTTTTGCTTAATAGGTCATTATTTTTATAGAAATAGTGTTGAAAGATGTTTAATAAGTTTACAACACATTGAAATAATGATTCTCCACTTTCTCCACATGATAGAATAAGATCTTTTTCAGTAAGCACCCAATCTTGTAGTAGTTTAAGACTTGGCAAGATATTGTCACCATGTAAAAAGTTGCTTATACCTTCTGAATCTAGAGCATTACTTAGTACTGCATTTTCTGAGGCAGTTTTGTTAATTCTTTCAGAATTGTCCACCATATCTGTTGTATTTTCATAAGAACCATTCACTTTCTCTTCAACTTTTTTCTCTAGATCTGAACCATCACTATTGTCTTCATCAGATGCATAGGTTGAATCAGAAATTGCATCTTCATCATCAGAGCATGTTTGGTCAGTTTCTTCTGAACTACTCTCAGAATTATCACTTAAATCTGAACTGTCTAATGAATTTGCTCTACGCCTACGCCTCCTCCTGGGTATATTTTTTTTATTTTTGCCATCTCCATTAATGAAAACTTCTTTATCATCATCAGAGCCAGTTTCTTTTAAATCTTCATAGTAAGTATCTTCACTTCCATTTGGCAATGGACATACTTCATGGTTATCCTGAGTTTCTATGTTGTCCAATCCATTCTCAGTTTTTTCTGGTTGATTTAATTTATATTTTGGTATGTAATTGTTGGCTGGGTTTTTAAATCCCAAGTTTTCTAATTGGTTATGCAATTTTTGTAAAGTCTGAGATAAAAATGCTAACGTAAATGCTTTGCATGCAAATGATTTGGCTTCATCACTTTCTTTCATCTTAGCTATAGTAAAAAGACATATTTTAACAATATGATGTATCATTGTTGAGTTAAGATAAGCTGGATTTGCGTATTCTTCTTCCATTGCTTGCATGTACTCATTATAATTTTTATTTATATCAGGAAGATGAACTTTTGTAAAATCCATTGATAGTTTAAGCTGTTGCACAACATTGCTGCATAGCTTTGGAATATTTTCATCATCTTTAAGAAAGTACCACTTTTCAATTAAAGACAAAAAATTTGCCACTGTAATTTGAATATGTTCAGACTGTGTCATACTTTCGGATGGTGTTACCATGCAACAGAACTGGTTATTCTTTTCAAAGATTTTGTTTAAATTACCCAGAGCTCCCTCAAAAGGTGTCAAACAACTTAGGCAGTGGATATAAGAACTGACAGAATCCAAATTATAGTTTTTTTCTAAATATAAATTGGCAAGTTGGTTAAATGGCATGCCTGAAGTGAGGTCTAATTGAGCTGCTTGAAGATAATAGCGAGCTGCAATGGATGCCCCACTTTTATTAAAAATTTCTACTTGATATCTACTCAAATCACCCAGGTATATTAAGCATGAGTACAGTATTGACTGATAAAGAATGTGGCTGTCATGTTCAATAAGCTTGCTGTTTATATCATCTTGATATTCTTCATCATTATAGGAAGGAGCATAATCCAAATCTTTTAAATTAACCCTCATTTCTGCCTGAACTTTTGCAATAAAATTATGGAAGTGACCAATACCAGAGACAATATGCATGTCTAAATAATTGTCACAATCATGGTGAGTCTCATGCAGCTTTTTAGCACTATATATTGTATCATAGTATACTTTTCGCCAGACTAATTCCACTGATTTCTTTCCATAATTCAAGGGATCTAAAAAGAAAAGTTTTTCGCAGTTGTCTCTAAGCTTCTGCCGTTGGACTTCTATGTGGATGCTGAATAAATCCGCAATTACTTTACTGGCTGAGGTTGCTTCACCAAGACGTCGAGCCACATCTGTTACATACCTGAGAAAATATTTCTATTAGGTGTGCCGGCTTATTTAATAATTGAACTTTTAGTAGGAACCTATTATTATTTAGGGCAGTAACTATTAACTGTAAAAGCAATTGTTTTGTGGTTTATTATTAGAGGTTATCAATATCTATAGGTAATCAATATTTATATTAAGAAAAAATAAGTACTATTATTATATTCGTACCTATATACTTTCTTTGCTTGTTCGCTACGCTCCAGATTTTTGATCACCAAATTATCATTGCAGTCGTTCTTCATTTTTCAAGTCATTGTTACATATAAACTTGTCAAGATGTTTTTAAAAACACTGATGGTGATGACGTTTTAGAGTAACACTCAATGTGTCCAGAGATCGTAATCAGAATCATTTCCGTGAGAGCATCTTAAAAAACATTTTTTTTAATATAAAAATGACTGCATAAAAGATGTTTCTAAATTATATTACGTTTTAATCCACATTTACCTTTTTTTTTTTTTTTTAAAGCAAAGTGGAAACTATATGAAAAGTTGAGTGATTGCCGTCATAGACAAATCACACACATCCAACTTCCAAGTATAGGCTAATGCACAGATTATTAATTAATTATTATTTATAATTACCATAGACTTAGTATATGCCGTAGACGGACTATGATATAATATATTATATGGTTCTATACTCTATCTACGAGTATATGCGCAGTAGGATCATGCGGGTGACAGTTTCAATAACGTTTTATTTCGTTTCAACTCTTGAAAGTTGCCGCCATTTACAAATTATGACTTAGTTTTTCAGCTATACCACATTCGTAATATATTAAATCATAAATAACTGTAGTAACTTAAGTTTAACCCAGCCAGAATGTGAGTCTACAAATAAAATGAAATTGAAAGAAATATTAAGCAACAAGCATGTCCAAAACAAAAGAGTGTAAAGGGTGTAATGTGGGGTGTCACTTCGAAGTTTATACTTCTTTGGCATTATTAAAAATAGTTTTTGATTGCATGCAAAAAATTAATTACAATTAAATAATCAAAAGACTGGAAAAGGAGTCATTATAGTCAATTAAGTTCAGTTTACATTTGAAAAATTAAATAAATATGTAATTATTTATTATTATTCTCTTACATTAAGTGTAACATAAATTATATTTAGTTAAAATTATATATTATTATATATTTAGAACATCTCTACCAAACACTAAGAAGTATGTTGTTGCTTTGGCAGTATTGCACAATATAAAATTAATAAATTTCTTTGAAAAATTAATCAAAACTCCTTTATTTGTTTAAAAGGTAAATGACAAATGTCATTATGGTCATTCAAAATTCTTGGCATACGAACTTCACGCATATTCTATTTCTTTTCTTGTAGATTTTCTTATTCCTATCTCGCTCGCGCATGCTATAATCACACTCCAATGTTGTGACAGGTGCGCGCGCATCGGTAAATTTCACTCTCATAAATTTTTCATAACGCGCCTAAAGAAGTATAACTTCAATAATTCCCTTATTAAAGAACTGCAATCTCAAATAAATAAATAATAGCAATGGAATAGGATGAAAAACCTCGAGATTGTTGGGTTACCCTGGTATAATGATTACCACTTAGGGATTATCATGACTTCCATATGTCCCATTTACATTGTTTTTAATATACGGGAGTCACATTTTGTACTAAGTCTTAAATATGAGAGGAAGTGTGCTTTTATTATTTTTATACGGTTTCTATGCTTTTCTCATAACCTATGACCGTGAAATTAAAAATGTCACATTGACATTTGGGATTACTGACTGAATAGCGACAGACCATGGCGGGAAAAATATTATTCATCGACTTGCTAAGTTTTGAGTGATTGTTTGTTTATAGTTTTGTAATTATTATAATAGCATAATTATTGTTCTTGGTTGACATTTAAATATAGCAGCATACCAGTTTAGCCAGTTCTTTTACCTTTTCTTAATGATTTCTTGATAGGAAAGTATTGAAAATGAAATTAATTTGTAAAATAGAAGTCGTAAATCGTGCCCACAATAATTTAAATATAAGATCAAATGGAAAATACATAAAATCAACATTAGCCCTAAGTAAAGAACCAAAAAATAGTACCGAGTACTGTATGTTTCATTTCTCCTCGGTAAATAAATCTGGTATTAAATACAAAGTGAAATGTATAAAACAAGTATTTGTGAAATGTTTAAACGAGGGTAAAATTACTATAAGATTTTCTGAGCCTCCACATGACTTGTGTGTCAAAAGTGAAGTATTACAGTTAAAGAGTTTTCTAAATTTGTTGAAGTCCTGCATTACGGGTAATGTGAAAAATTTAAAAGTTACAAATTTGACGTCAGTTGGTGTGACTGCATTAGACAATGCTCCTACCAAGTTAACTATATTGACTCGTAATGATATACCCTCAAAAGGATTTCCACGTACCTTAGAATCTCTTTACATGGCTGGATTAAAATTATGCAATTTCCGCCGAGATATACTCTTACTGCGCCGTTTAACTGTGCTCGATTTAAGCAACAATGAAATAGAAAAGATCCCTTATGAGTTTGGTGGGTTGTTTTTATTCACATATTTATGGAAGTAAAGGTAATCATACTTAAAACATTTTTTTGTATTGCAGCTAGGATGCCAAATTTAAGTGAGTTATACTTAACTAATAATTCCCTAGGAACTCTTGAAAGTGTTGACTGGAGATGGTTGCTAGGACCTCAGGTAAGCAGTAATAGAAAACATTGAGAGCCTATCTACTTATGCACACTTATACTTAGTTATAATTGTGCATTAGTAGATAGGTACAAGCTTATTATATGTGCAACAAAACATGTTCAATAATTTTGTGTCAGTTTACTGTTTTAAAATAATACAGTCATGTAAAATACACTTAACAAACAGTGTTTTTATATAGCAAAATATTTATGTGAAGTTAATTCAAAAAAATTCTTGTAATCATTTAAACTTGTTTTTTATGCATATTAATAACTTATTTTTTTATGAAAAAATAAAAGATGTCTGGGTTATTTTAAACCTGCCTAGATTATGAGTGCTGTATCACTGTCAACTTTCTATTCCCACAAAAAGCATGACATCAACAGATTTTTGGTGAAAATCTTCTATCAAATAATTTAAAATCTTATTAATTTTTGACCTATATTTTTCTAATAATTATGCCTAAAAGATGTTTGTGCTGTTTGTAAATCTAAATTCTTTAAATAATATCTTATTTTTAATGAGGTTTTGAGTTTGACCAGTATGTACATCTACAATTGATAACCCAAAATTTAATTATGAGAATTTTGAGTTATATATATATATGTAAGAAGAACCTTTCCTTAACAACTGCATTTACTGGGAATTAATAGTGAAATTCATAGGAAAGAAGTGTGTGTTTTTTAACATTGACCTTTATTTCATGCAGATTACAAAGACATTAAAACTCCTAGATCTATGTGGTAATAAGCTGAAAGTTCTTCCAAGAAATATTTGGAAACTGCATAATTTAGTTACATTAAAATTGGACAACAATCTATTAGAGAGGCTCCCTGCATCGTTAGGACGAATGAGGAAGCTAAGGTAATTCTAATTTCCAACACCCTCCTAAACAAAGTTGTATGCTTCGATAACATTTTAAGAGTATTTAAACTTTAATTATTTCTAACAACATCAAAATTTCTGCTAATTTTATCAAGGAATACTAATTAAACATTTGACAATGTGTACCTTTTAGAGTGAAGAATTTTGTATTTAATTAAGTATAGCGGCAGAGCAGTGTCAATACTTTAAACTATTTGCCTAATTTATAAACAGTTATGACTGTTTATATCATATATTATTGTAACCAGGTTAAACAGGAGGAAAACTACTTAATTAAGTTACAATTGTTAATATTTCCAATGAATATGACCATCTATATAACTAAAGACATATTTCAGTTAAATCTGTTATTAATTTGTGTAATATATCTGAAATACATTATAATTAACTTATAAAACATTCATATAAACAAAATAAAATTTTTCTTTACAGATACGTAACACTAAGTCATAACTATTTGCAGTACCTTCCTTGCAGTGTAATGCAATGCAGATTAGACCAATTAGATATATCACACAACAATTTACAAAACCCTGAAACACTTCAAAAACCAATTGCATTGCAATGGGATTTCTGTGTTGGCAGGCTATTGGATATAGCAGCAAAAGTTGTTTTAAGGAATAATATGTATTATGCAGCAAATGTAATTCCTTTTACCCTAGTTGAAACATTAGACGGTGCTAATACATGTGTTTGTGGCAAACCTGTTTTAAATAATGTGTTTTTAATCAAACAATTTGACTCGCGTGATTGCTTTAGTAATGTAACTGTAGTTAATAATAATGTAAATAGTGCTATTAACTTTCAATGTTATTTTTGCTCATCCAAGTGTTTGAGAGTTAATAATTTTTAGTGGTGTTTCATTATCTGTATTATTAAATAGTAAATTATTTCTTCTAACAATTCCTTTTTTTTAACATATAGTTGTTACTTGCTTAATATATTTTATTTTTGAAAATCATAAAAATATAGAGATCTGTATATAATAAAACAAATGTAACTATGATATATAAATTTAGACACAAATTTAAACTTTTTTGTATTTGAAGATCTACATTAGAATAGTTAATAATGAAGTTTTCTTATATACATTCAAAATGTTATTAACTTTCTGAGATAGGACAATAAATATTGTACAATTCTATGCTGACATTGATAGAAGGGATTCTAAAGTTATAAAATCATGTTAGAAATTAGTCTAAATCTAATTTCCAGCGGACATCTTGAATAACAGGAGCTATTCTGACACTAGGTTCTGAAACAAACAAAAATTTATTTAATTATTTGGCTCAGGGGAACAGAGGGCTTAGGATGAACAATACAAACTATAGATTAATTGACTGACAAATATGAATATTCGACATAACTATTGTAAAGATATAAGTTTGGCTATAGAACAATTATTGTTCCGATTTGAAAGTCGCCTCAAAGGCGCTGACAGCAGTGCTGAACAAAACTTAAAAAATAGTCGAGATGTACAAATGTTTCTGATATCGATATGGCAACGACATATTGGTTTAGTAAATTAAACCGTAAGGGTGCGTACAGACTATGTAACATATTATATATCTTGTATTTTATAACACGTCCACATTATGTACCCTTGTTATTCAACATTATAACATAAAACAATACTGTACACATTAGAATAACAATGCAATATAACAATGTTATATAACCATTGTCGTTTGTCGTTCTCCAGTGCTATCCACAATGTCGACACGAGAGGACGTTTAGCTGGCTGCGGCAGCGACTATTGTAATTTTAAATAACAAAAGAAAAACAAAAAAACGTAGATGCTGGGTTCGTCCTAGCATACATATCAATAACATGTTTTATAACATTCAGTGTCCACATTATCTGAAACATGTTGTATAGCAATGCTGTATAACATGTTATGTTATATAGTCTGTACGCACCTTTACAAAAAAGACACGGCGACGTAATAACCGTCTTATATCATGTTAATCAAAAATGAAATTTGATTAATATATAAATCTGCAAGCAACACTGAACATGTAAGCAGTACAATTTACATAAGTTGCTTACCTAAAGTTGCAATCCCTTGGCGTATAATGCTGCCCCCTTCAGGAACATTTTGTTCAGCTGCTATTACTGCGATTGTCGCTTCTATGACAAAATTGTTTGTCCAAATTTGCTTGAAACTGTCTTTCATTTCTTGTAGCACTCTATCTAAGAGGTACTGTCGAAAAACATGCGATTTTCAGAAATATAAAGAATAATTAGATTTTACATAAATTAAAACAACACTTCACTTAATTTACCTGTAGTATCTTAGCTTCATCATCCTTATATAAGCTGCAAAGAGCTAAGTTTATTTCCCTGACCAACGGTCGTAATTCAAATGTAGCTGTGACCAGTGAATGTAGGGCCATAACCAAGGCAGTGTCTTCATATTGTGATCCTTCCTTCAATGAGGCAACTTTCCGTTCATGTTTCCTGCGGTTCTTGCTTGAGCGATAGGAGCGGCTAAAAGTTTAGTATTTATATAACAATGCAAAAAGACAAAATAACTTCTAAATTAAGTTATAATATATTGAATAATATAACTTAATTTAATACCCAGGAAAATACTGATTCTTATTATAATAGTAAGTAATCAAGATATTTTTCACTATACCTTGATCCAGTAGAAGAGCCAATAGTGCTTCCAACATCAGAATATAAGTCATAGTCACGATTATAGTAGGGAATATGTTCATTCCTGGGTGGAGCTTTGGATTTATTCTCCCGAACTACTTGTAAGCGATCGTTATAGTTCTTGAAATTTTTCAAATTTGTCCCTAATAGATCCTTTAAATTATTAAACTCTTCTATAACTGCTGGTTTAACATCTGTCTCTGAAAGTAAATAATTGTCATATATTAGCTTTATTTTACCGTTTATTTTAAGTGTTGTGTAGATATTGAGTCAATTAATTATGAATAATTAAAAAAAGGAAATCTAATGGAATTAAATTTGATTTCTCAAAGATTTTATCATAAAAATACCTAAAAACGTGTGCAAGTCAAAGCTATAACATAGTCGTATAGCAGACTTAAATTCTCCATTTTCCACAGCAAACTTTAAAGTTTCTATTTCATTATCACCTAGCATCTCTAGAATCCTTAAAGCTTCACTATGACGCTTTTCTTGCTTTAGAGCTTCAACAAAATCCCTGAAAAGACGAGAGGAAACTTATGATACTTTTCGTGCAAATTAGAATAATTGGTACTTTAATCAGGATTTCAAAATTTGTTAGGACTATTAGGACTGTTTTTCTAACCTATAATTGTATTTGCCTTGAATAATTAAGTAATACTTTGAACATTACCTACCAACATATTGCTTTGAATTCATCCTTAGGTAAGTGTTGTACCAATTTTATAGCCAACTCCCATTCCAAAACTTCTTTGTAACATTCTAAAGCCTTTTCTATATTATCAGCCCTTTCAAACATTATCCCAGACTCTAGGTATTGTTTTTTTAACTTTAAATATGCACCGAAATCATCACAAATCTGTTTATAAATATAATCACCTGGTGTTAACATTTTTAATGCATCTCTATACAAACTATGGTATTTTACAAATGTTTTTAATTCTTCATGTTTGCTCGGACCACATTTAATGAGACTATCAACAGCTAAGAGATACCTTTTTAAATTTTTGTTAATGGTAAACCTTTTGTAGTTTTCATCCATGGCATTCAATTCATTTAGCATAGGAATGTATTCTTTGGGATCCTTTTGAGATTTATTGGCTACTAATAGCACCAGATCAAAATCATACATTCCTAGGGCAACATCAAACAACTTATTAACATCAACAATATAAAGTAGGTACTTTAGAGCTTCATCTGAAGAGACTGGCAGTTTAGAACCATTAAATTCTAGGTTTTTTAGATCTTTAATAATGATTAGTGCGCTTTCTAAGTCTTGTATTGTGTTCTTTTTAACGAAGGTGGTTAGCAATGGCAGCACTCTAGCTAATTTGTCTGTTCCTGAATTAAGCCGCTCTCTTACAAGATCACAAATGAAATCCACTTTTTTGTCACAGTCCTTATTCTCGTTACTACCGATGTAGCTAGTTGCATACATAGTTTTGGTAACATCATTGTTTTCTAGATCTGTCAGAAAGAGGCTGAGCCACGAGTTATTATTTATTATTTCCAAAAATTTATCAATATTATTGACAAAGCATTGAGGATTATGATCATATATTAAATTGAGATTGATTCTTTGTTTCCTCATCAAATCAAATACTTCATAGTACTTAAGAGAATTCAAGTATTCACCAACAATTTTAAGTGAGAGGGGCCTTGGTTCAATAACTTCCAGGTTACCACGAGGCATTTGTAGCACTGTCCTTGTGTCATTAGGGACGACTACAACAATTTTTGAACCGCATTCCACTCTTCTTTTATAAACATCGGGAGATTCTGTATCATCATAATCAATTACTGCTCCTAGTCCATCTTGAGTCAGTTTGGTGCAAAGCATAAAATTTTTTAATGATGTTATGAGAAAGTAATCAGTGTGAACAAAGATTGATCCAACATTGTTCATTATGACTCTGTCCTGAAGATATAAAAGCCCCTTATGTGTTAGACCTACAAAGTAGCCTAGATCTCCAATGGGCAAAACACAGAATTTTGGACATGCAACTGGGAATGATTCAGCTAGTTCCTCTAAGCCTTCAGAATTATATTCCATAACTTTACCAGTTTCAAGGTGAAAGTATAGCTTAGGTATCAGTGGATGGGAATGAATTCGTACAACAGCTGCAGGTAAGCTTTTAGAATAAATCTCTTCTAATCCATTTTCCAATATTGTAAATAATAACAATTTATAATTACTATCATTATCCAATTTAATAACAGCTAAAACATTTTGTTTCCACCAGTACCAATTATAATATTGAAATGGAAATTCAAATGTATTTAAACATATAGTTTTAGTAACTACATACTTGAGTGGCTTCTTCTGAATTTGTTGGTAGAATGTCAACATGTTGGCAGAACAAATAAAAAAAGAGTTGAAGTCAGAATCATCACTAGGTTCCATGAGAAACTGCACTGAATCTATTAAAGTATCTGTCTCGATTTCTAAATTCGCCATAGGGGGTGGTACTACTGATTGACGGAATGAAGACACTAATACTTTTTTTCCATCAATAACTGACACTATTGCATCATCTTTTATACATTTTCCAGTACTGTGGTCAACATCCCAAACCCATGAATATGTATAATAACATCCATTTTTGAACAGAATATGGAGTGTTTTGTTGTGTGAAGTATCAAAACCATTATCCCACATAATCTGGCTTAATTTACTATGACCACTAAATGTAAGTGTCTGCTTGAGGTACCAGTGATAGTTGCTACTTGTGAATAATAGAACTTTAGGAGTACGATCCTTCAATTCCTTGCAAACTAAAGTCAAAATCTCTGAATCTTGGCTCCACAAAACTTTTTGTACTTCTATATTTTCAATTTCAGGTATTTCAAATTCTCCATGTTTCAAACCGTTTTTTTCAAAGAATGTAACAACATATTTATCTGTGAGTCTCTGCGTTGTTGCAATAGTGTTGCCACTGGGACGCCATCCCAAGTTTGCTTCAAGCCCCTGCTGTCTCTCGCTGGTGTAGAGCAACTTTCCTCCACGATCAAAAACTTTAAAGCGTCTTATTCCTTCCATTGTAAATCCAACAGCAAACAAGCGTCCATGATATTTCCAAGATATTAATACTTGATTATTAATCAATGCATGTTTATCTGTAAAAAATGTAATGAAAATTTAATTTTGCTTGTATATCTGATAAATAATAATAAATAAACTTAAATTATGTT